GGACTGCAGTCAGGCTGGAATCTGGGGGAGTGAGAGGATCTTGAGGATCTTAGCCCTTTGGGAGTTTGCCAAGGAGCAGAGGAGATTGTGTTTTTGAAAACAGGTTTCTGCATGTTTCTTCTAAACATAGTTCCATGCAGGGTAAGCTGTCTAACTATGCATCCTATTTAACCACTTCTTGTCTTGCCCCCGGGTGGCATTGGCTGTACTTCCAGTCCTTGCTTTTACAAAGAATATCTGAGCGGCCAGCTCCTTCAGTCTTACTGTTTTTAGCATTATTTTCCTGCAAGTGGAGTCAGTTACAGAAAGAGAGGGTGCTGATTGAGGAGCAGAAGTAGCCATTCACCATCTCAGATCCTTTCTAGAAGGGTCCAGTGTGGTCATTTGATAGATGCATCTACATATACACAAGCATGGGTGGTCAGTCTTCAATATTGACCATTTCTTGGTTGGGGCAGTCTCTGAACTCCTGTCTCATATCAGTTTGGAGAACAGAGGATGGAACCCCAAGTGTGGAATCTCGCTGATCCCCACACCAAGGAGCCATTGTAGGTACACATCCTAGAGATGTGACTTCAACATGTTTGGCTCACTGAGACCCTGAGGAAACCAGCCCAGGGCAGCCATAGAGGCACATAGGCAGCAGTGATTCCCCTGTGGTACTGGTGTTGGAACTTAAGGTTAAGTTTATTCTTTTCCTGTAAACACCCTGCACAGTCCCCAGAGCAGCTGCCTGTTGACACCAGAGAACGACGTCAACCCTTTCCATGCATATCTTGGGTAGGGTTTTGTAAACACTTCCCAGCTTGTAGCAAAAAAGAGAACAACTTCTAAGGTGATCAGCCTCTCAAAAATGTCCCCTCCTGCTCCTCTCCTTCCTTGAAACAACAACAACAACAACAACTTTGTGGTTATGAATTCTTCCTTCCCAGCCCAGCTGGAGCAGAGGAATCTGAGGTGCTGACCTCGCTGCCTTGCCGGGCTCCCTGTTTAACTACTTCCTGCCTGGCAGGAAGGGTAGAGGCTCACCCTGGGCCAGGGGTGGCCTGCCCATGACTGGTGGCCATGCTCCACCACAGCTCATCTCCATGCCTCTGTCCTGCTCCATCTGGGTTGTTGGCTGAGCCATAGTGGGAAGCATGCCGCATTGGTGGTGCCTGTTGCAAATAGAAGTTGGAAGAGATGTGCATGGCATCTTGTTGTCTTCTCTGGCCTGGGTCATGTTCTAGAGGGATCCTGGGTCACTGCAGATCTCATCCATGAGATGGAAAGATTCCTAGCTTGACCCCCCACCACCTTCCTAGCAGAGGAGTTGCATGTCCTAGAACCTGGCCCACCTGAGTGAATTCCCACACTGCTCCCAGTTCAGTGTCCTGACAAGGATGGTTCAGCTTCCCGGAATCTCACTTTTCTCTGAAAAATAGGCAGAGTGTAGTACCAGCCGCATTCGATTGTTAGAGAAACTCCTGGGACAGTGCTGCTCAGCCTCTGACTCATACCTGACTCTTGAACCTTCTCTGTCTCCTCTCTGCAGGGGGGTTGGCAAAGAGACATGGTCAGCCTGTTTTCTCCAAAACCTTGGGGTAAGTGTTGGAACATGCAGGTCATGAGGAGGCATGGTTAAAGCATTTTCTACCAGCTTGGGTAGGATAGGTCTGGGCATCCAGGTTGTAATAGCTGGGGAGGAGATGGCGCATCTTTCACACAGCACATGTGAAAGGTCATGATCAGAAGACAAAGCAGACAGACTCAGAAGAGGCAAATAACCACACCTTCCCTGTGGTGAAGAAGCCCCACATGTTAAAGGCTCCACCCAGGGACAGCTGATTTCCCAGGGAGCAAGGTTCTGTTCAGATTGGCTTGGACAGCTAGAGGACCTTCTGCATTTTCTCCCAGGAACCCAGGCTTTTGCCATTTTCAGCTGCCTCCTCTGCCAGGGCCCTGGAGCCTCCACTGGACCCTCTGCCCCTAACCAGCAAAAATGGCATGGGCAAAAGTGGAGAACCTTGCAGGAGAATATTATGGCTCTGCCATAGAAACAGCCCATAACACTTGGCTCATAGTCTGTAGGCCAAAACCCTAGCTTTTGGCCAGAGCTCGGCAGAAATCCTGTAGCTTTAACAAGGGAGGCTTGTCCTGAGACCTAGCTGCAGGCACAGGACGTGGAAGAGATGATTGTTGCCATCTCTCTTTCCAGAAGGGTCATGAGAAAGTCTGAGGCTAGAGTTGGGATGAACTGCACACCCCTGATGCTGTGCAGTCCCAGCCTGTGTGACTTCAGTGGGGTAGAGGAAAGAAGATCAGATTGCTGCCTAACATGATTTCTTCCCAGGGATAGACTTGCAACTCCAGCAGCAGAAACTCGCCCTAGCATCTGGGGAGAGTGCCCACCGAAGTTTGCTACCAAGCTGGGTCGAGCAGTAGTCAGAGAAGGACAGATGGGACGGTTCTCCTGCAAGATCACCGGCCGGCCCCAGCCACAGGTCACCTGGATGAAGGTAAGGTTTCCCAATGCTCTAACCCCAAGCCAGGCCTGGAGACCCTGCAAATCCAGGGTCACATCCTTCAAACAGTGAGAGTCTCTTTGCAGACTGGAGGGTTCTCTGGATGGCGAACAGCAAATCATTTGTGCCCCTTCCCTATGTCACTCAGACCACATGGTTCCTATCATTGTCACAAAACAGCAGCCTGGCATCCTCAGGAGAGTGGATTTGAAGTTATGGCCCTAGGTTTAAAAATCCTATGGTGCTGGCATCTTACATGAGATCCACTTCAAGTCCTGGCTGCTCCATTTCCAATCCAGCTCCCTGCTAATGTGCCTGGGAAAGCGTGGAAGATAACCCAAGGCCTTGGGCCCCTGCAACCATGTGGGAGACCCAGAAGTTCCTGGCTCCTACTTTCAGATCGGTTTAACTCGTTGCATTCATTTGGGATGGAAGATCTCTTTTTCTGTCTCTCTCCTGCCTGCCCTGTAGCTCTTTCAAGTAAAATAAGTCTTTTTAAAAAAACAAAAAACTGAAGAACAAAAAACAGCTCCCTGGTTCATAAGAGCCATGATCTTGGATAAGCTGTCTCATCTCTTGTACTTCCTCCAAGTACTCGGAGAGGCTGCACATGGTAGTGCTCAGTAGGTCATGCAGGGCAGAGTAAAGATGAAAGTGGTGGAGAAGATTGGGACAGGGAGGGAAGATAGTGGGGTGAGAGTCAGTGTTCAACCTTGATGAGCAGGGAAGATCAAGGCCAGGAAGAGTAGACTCTTCAGCAGTGGGTGGTAGGAGCTGGCATTGTGATGCAGCAGGTGAAGCTGCCATGTTGCAAGCCTGACATTCCCTAACAGAGTGCCAGTTTGAGACCTGGCTACTATGCTTCCAGTCCAGCTCCCTGCTAAAGCGCCAGGGAAGGCAGCCAGTTTTGGATCAAGTACTTGATTCTACCACAAATGTGGGATCCTAGATGAAGCTCCTGGCTCCTGGCTCGGTCCAGTTCCAGCTCTGGTGGCCATTTGGGGAGTGAACCTGTAGATGGGATCTTTATCTCGCTCTCTCTCAGTCTGTCACTCTGTCTTTCAAATAAATATTAAAGAAAAACAGGTGCTAGGATAAATTTGCCTCTTTCTTAGTTCTTCTGAATTCATAAAAAAAGAGCAGCAAAGAAAAACTAAAGTGATAAATAGAGACTTTCCTTCCTCAAACTTGGGCTCCTTTGAAATGTGTCCCATGCATCCGCTCATAGTCTAACTGACTGCCACATCACGTCCGTGGATCCTAGATCAGGATGATTAGATTGTCTCAAGACTGCTCCATGAACCTGTGGAGCAGAGTGTGTCTCTCCCACCAGGCCTGGCAGGAGAACGGTGGCGACAGGATAACAGGTTTGTGTGACCACTCCACCCTTCTCACCCTCCACAGGGAGACGTGCCACTTCAGCCAAGTGCCCGCGTGTCCATGTCTGAGAAGAATGGGGTGCAAGTTCTGGAAATCCACGAAGTCAGCCAAGACGATGTGGGGGTATACACATGCATGGTGGTGAACGGGTCAGGGAAGGCCTCCATGTCAGCTGAGCTCTCCATTCAAGGTATCCTCCTACCAGGGAAGCTGGCAACCTCTGTGCCATCCTAGGGAAGCCACTCATCTGTCATGAGCTTGTGTGTACACAGGTGGCATCCTTGTGAAGCCATCCCTCCCCCACTCCCAGCAGGGGCAGGGTCTTGAGCAAGAAGAATGGGGAAAGCAGGTAGGCAGCGCAGACCTGGCTGGAAAAACTAGGCTGTCACCTCCACATGAGCCCGCACACTTGATCTTCAGTCCTTTCTTGTCACTGAGTCCCTTTATTCTCACTTAGCTCCCTTTGTGTTTCTCTTACCAGTGGGAAGAGCATACTAAGGTTTTGCTGTTACCCTAAATGTCACCTGCTTAAAATATAGCTCCTTGTCAGCTCTGTCCTCCACTCAATTCTTCCTACCCAGGGTCTGTGTTTCTTCTTGCCATGAGTCGACCTCTCACCATCCCCTTTTGACCCCTGCCTCTCTCTGCTACAATCCTCACCCTTTGAGATCTCTCTGAATTCGTCTCCTTCTTCCACATCCAGCCTGGAGAAGCCAGAGCGTACAGGGGAGAGTAGCCCAATGTCACATCAAAGAGGAGTACTTTGGGAAAGGGTACCTCAGGGTGGGTTAAAGTGTCTGGGTTGAACATTTCAGAAGCTGTTTATTTTTATGTGTGGCTCCATTGGTTTCTCTGTGTGGTGGATGGGGACAGATCCAGTGCCCTTAGGGCACAGCCACTGGTGGGTTGGTTTTTTTTTTTTGTATTTGTTTTTTAGTAGTTTTTTTTTTTTTTTTTTAAGCCTAAGAAGGCAACAGTTGGAGCTGTGACCTTATCCTTCAGTGGGGATGGGTTTATCGGACCAACCATGTTCAGCAAAGGAAGCTGGTGGGGGTACAGCAGGGCAGAACCACAGAGATAGGAAAATGCTTGGGAAGTGAGAAGTCAGTCAATGCAAAGGGTAGCTGGCATGGTGTCTCCAGTAACCGTCTTTCTTCCCTCCTCTCCTTTCGCAGGTGTGGACAAGACCAGCAGGTAGGTCTAGGTTCTGCCCTGGTGTGCTTTCCAGTTTACAGTGCCCTGGGAGGAGAGGCAGTCATGAAAGAGTGACTCTGAGAGTCATCTGTTTCAGTCAGGGAGTATTCTGGTTGGTTCTGTCACAGAATGGACCTTGCAGGCCCTGTGTGTCAGATGTTAAGGCTCTTGAAAAATCTTTCTGGGCATCTTCATATCTCCACGAATTAGCCATCCTTAGCAAGGGGCACTTCAACTGAGTTCATTAGGTGCTTCCTGCGCTGTGCTGAGGCTCGGGACTAGCCACTGAGTCCACAGGTCTAGTGTCAGGAAGGGTTTTGAACAGAGTCAGATGAATGTGTGATTAGAAACTTGGCACATACCCGTGAAGGGGAATAGCCATGAGAGGCTGGCTGAGGTGAAGGCTTCAGGATGCCCTTTCTAAAAATGTGATGTTGGAGCCAGTGAAGAAAAAGCCTAGGGTAGAATTGCTCCCAATGCAAGGGCCAGCATGTGAAAGCCCTGAGACCACCGATGGGCAAGCGGGTCTCTCAGATGGACCCCTCCTTCTGTATGCCTGCAGCCTGGTGGGCAGCAGAGCGCTGTCTCATGAATTCTAAGAAGCAGCTGGAGGAGGTCCCACAGTGGCTTGCTTTCAGGCCCTGTCGAGAGGTTCTGCCAAGAAACACCCAAACTTGACCTATCACCATGCATTTTATGTATAACAAGCTGACTGTGGTTGCTAGGGGGGAAGTAGGCTAAAGAGTGGACAAGAGCCAATGGTCCACTGGTTAAAACTGGGATTGGGCGCGTGGCACCAATGGAGCAGAGAATTGTAGAACAAACGGGACTCGGAATGAGGTGCAGCCCAGCAGGTGTCAAGAAAGACCACTGGTGCTTGGGCTTGGGAACCTGGCAAGCTGCAAGGACTCTGCCCCTACCCACTGGTAACTGATGGGTTGTTGTGACCCCTGGGCCCGTGAGCTTGTGGCAAGTCATGCCCTTCATGAGTCACCAGCTGATCATCCCACTCTTGTTTCTCCACCCTCCTCACCCACCGCACCACCCAGCAGGTCAGACGTCAGAAGGGAAGTGACCAATGGCATCCCGAAGGGGCTGAAACTGGACAGCATGGATACGACAGCCGAAAGGAAACATGGCTCTAGCCCTCAGGGTAGCAGCTCCCTGGCCTGGGCCGCTAACCTGCCTCAGCCTCTGAGGGACTGCGGACTGGAGCTGAGCAGGGAATCAGCCCGAAATGTCCCTCAGTCCCATCTTCCTCATAAGGTTTCCAGCACCATCACCCTGCAGGCCACGAGAGTCCAGCCAGAAGCAAGAGCACCCAGCACTCCTCCTGCAGAGGAGGAAAGGAAGAGACCGGCTGCTCTCTGGCCAGCCACCCTCCCCTCCCAGCAGCCTGGCCTTGGAAGCCAGGAAGCCCTAGGGAGGAAGATTGTCCCCAAGAACTCCCCCACAGAGAGCCAGAGGGAGTCAACATTCCCCAAATTTGAGAGCAAGCCCCAGAACCAGGAGGTCATTGAAGACCAGCCAGTGAAGTTCAAATGTGAGGGTGAGTAAATAACCCGAACCCTAAGGTTACTGGTTGCCAAAATGCAGCCACTGGATGGCCATTCCCTTTCTGCCATGCACAGCTGACCTGCAATTCCTATCCACCCTTCCCTTGGCCACTGGGTCCCCTGGGAAAGCCACCCTACCAGGGGTCTTCCTTCCAAGAGGACAGATGTAGTCTGAGAAAGTTCCTTGTTTGTCATTGAATACAGTGTCACTGTATACATACTGTGTTCCTGGGCCCTAAGTCACACCACCTGGAAGGGAAAAGCTCTCACCATCACCACCATCCTCTTCTCCCTTCTCCCTTTTCCTTGACTGTGTGGAGATCTGACTCATCGCCCTTGGGTGAGGGTAGTCAACAGTGTCTAAAGAAAACGAAATTCAAACATCAAGTTTATTTTGGTGCAAACCAGTTTTGAAGTCCATACATTCGAGGGCTTGTCAAAGAGTTCACAGAAAGTGTAAAATTATGGGAAAAAAAAGTATGTATGCACGTAAAATATTTTCACACCTTCACACCAAAATAAACTTATCCTTTGTTTCCAGTTTCCCACGGAATTTCTGAGGTTCCCTTATGTTTCTCCCACTAAGGCCCTGCTCGGTCTTATGGCCAGGGCTGAGGGATGAGAAGGGGGAGGCCAGCTTCAGAGGAAATGGGAGCCCTGCCTCCCTCCTGGTCAGGTCCTCCCCACCACATCCCACAAATTGAGGTGCTCCCCAGGGCAGGGGCTTTGTTGCAGGGAGGTTCATGTTCTTCATCCGGCCCTATAGTTTCAGGCATCCCGAAGCCTGAAGTGACCTGGTTCCTGGATGGTGTCCCTGTGAGGCAACGAGAAGGCATCCTAGAGCTGAATGAAGAGGCGGGATCCCATTACCTGTGCCTGCTGAAAGCCCGGCTGAGGGACAGTGGGAGGTACAGCTGCACAGCTTCCAATTCCAGAGGCCAGGTGGCCTGCAGCTGGAACCTCATGGTGCAGCGTGAGTCCAACCCCCCGTCACCCTGGGGCCCTGAAGGAAGAGCCATGCATGGGCTGGCTTGTGGTCACAGGCCATTCACCTACAGCCCCTGAGCCCTGGTCTGCAACAGAAGTATCAAAACCCCACCCCACGCTGTGACCTTAATCAGGAGATCCTATTGGAATCCTTCCCCCAGCCCTGTCCCCAAGTCCTGTTGGGAGCTGGCCACTGGTTATGGTGCCTCCACAGTGCCACAGCTCGGGTGTTGTAACTGCAGAGAGCTGTGTACCATACAGGCTCAGAGTAATGTGGAGTGGCAAGGAGGCGCTTCACTGACAAAAGGCCAGCCATGGAAAAAAAGAACCCAGGCTTATTATGGGGAATTTAAACAATAGACCCTCTGATGACTCAGTATTCTAATGTTTGTTAAACAAGATCAGCACCACCACATTGTTGGTATTCTGTTTCTATTCTGCTTTGCTTATGTAACATAAACATCTTTCTGTATTATCTAGCGTTCTTTGAAACCATAATCTTTAATGCCCACTTAATATTGCATAGGATGCATGTAGCTAGTTTAGGCATGCTCTCTTAAGGGTTGAGTTTTTAAATTATTTATGTTTCTTTCACTATTAATAAGAAAATGGTGATAAGTAGCTCTCCATAAAATTCTCCCTCTCTTTAAGTGCGTGCTGTCTTGAGAGACCATATCATATCACAGAGAAACCTATTAAGTAATGTTTTGGGGGTATTATCAACAAATTACGTGCTGCTGAAGAGTCTGTGTACCAAATAACCATTACCCATTTTTTTTACAACAAATAAACCTCGAACAATTTTTAAAAATTAAAAAAGAAGAGAAGGGAAATCTATAAGGAATTTAGATTCAAAGAAAAATAAACAACATCAACAATTACAGTATATGGACCTTGTGTGGATCCAGATGGAAACAGTTTGAAAAGATTATTTTCAATGAGAATATCAGGAAAATGTAGATTTGGACAAGTTATCTGATATAAATGAATTAGTATTAATTTATAGATATGATGGCAATGCTGTGTCTTTTTTAAAAACCTATTTTTAGAGCTGCAAACTGAGTTATTTACTGGTGGAATAGTTTTATTTAAAGTCCCAGTTCCACACCTGATTCTGACTTCTTGCCTAAATACACACTGGTAGGCAGCAGGTAGTTGAGTCTCTGCTACCCATGTGGGAGACATAGACTGAGTTCCTAGCTCCCAACTTGACTTCCTGGCTGTTGTAGACATTTGGAGAGTGAACCAGTAGATGCATGATTCCCTCTGTCTTTCTTTGTCTGTCTATCTCTCTCTCTCCCTACTCTCTACTCTCTACCCTCCATGGGACAGGGTAGAGATGAGTGGCGTCAGGAGCACCACAGGTCAGTGCTGCACCCAGGGAGCTATGTTCTGCTGTGGCTTCCCTCTTCTGTAAATCTAGCAGAAGGCTGTTCTTGGCTGCTTGCATCCTAGAGCAAGGCATCTCGGAGCAACTCCCCAGTCTTACTTTGGTCTGTGTGGCACCTTTCTTGAGCCATAATTCACACGATGTGAATGCCCATCTTTATGGCCGAGTCACATTCACCATGTATAGTCATATGCTTCTTTTGCCCATGTATCAGTTGATGAATGTTTAGAATGTCTCTGTGTTGCTGTGGACGTTGTGTGCAAGGTCATTTTGAATAACCCATTTTCAATTTTGAATAGGTGGAATTGTTGCACCATAAAATCATTTTCTGTTGACCCTTTGGGAGAACTGTTTCTTACACTGTTCTTCTTACACTGTTCCTACAATGGCTATACCATTTACCTTCCACCTGAGCAACGTGCAAGTGTTCCAGCTTCCCCACATACTTGCCAACGCAATCCACCGTCATCTTATGATTCTGAGTTGCATTTCTCTAATGACTAATGACGTCAGGCATCATTTCATGTGCTTCTTGGCCTGTATATATCTTCTTTGGGTAACCATCCATTCAGATGGCCCTAATTTTAGTTGGGTCATTTGTGGTTTCATACAAGCATTATTTTTCAGTTGTAGAAGTTCTTCATATATTCTGGATACCAATCCATATCAGATATCAAGTTTGAAATTATTTTCTCATTGTGCAAAGTCTGGGTTAATTTTCCTTTGTGGCTGTGGAAGTGTCTTAGTTATCAGTTAATAGTTGAGTGGAGATTTTTTTAAATGCCTTGGGCTGGTGCATCTCTCGCCCTTGTTGAGGCTTCTGTGTTTGCATTGGAGAAAGGTGTCAAGGCTCTGACCGGCACCTTAAAAAGTCCTGCTTGCAGACAGCCCCTAGGGAGCCAGAGATGAGCATAAAACCTATCTTCCCTAGACACACACATAGCCCTGCACATGGGTACTATTGTCTAGGTTCCCAGGAATATATTAGTGCTTTCTCAGAACCCTGGACATCTTATACCTCAATTTGTTCTTGTAAGTTTTTGTTTGATGTTTGTTTAATTATTTGAAAGGAAGAATGATAAAGAGAAGATGGGGGAGAGATCGAAAGAGGTAGAGAGAGAGACAATCTTCCCACCACTGGTTGACTCTCCAAATGACTGTAATGGGCAAGGACGGTTCATGTCAAAGTTGGGGTCCCAGAAGCTCCACCTGCGTATCCCACGTGGGTAGCAGGAGCCCAGACAGGCACTTGGGCCATCCTCTCTGCTTTGCCAGCAGGGAGCTGGGATGGAAGTAGAGCAGCCAAACCAACCCTCTGATATGGGAACGCCCATGCCTCAGGGTGCAGCTTATCTCACTTTACTCCAGTGCTGACCCCTTCTTTTTAAGCTCTTTGATACTGCAGCCACAGGTAGCTGTATTGTTCAATAGCTGTGGGTGATTATTCAACCACACTGGGGGATCGGACTGTTCTTATAGAGCAGATTTGAGGCCAGATCAAGTACAGGCAAGTCCTGAAAAATGAAAATCAGAAAGGTGCTGTCAAAGAGCTGCCAGGCTGTGACAGCTCCCATGCAGATGGCATTCTCAGGAGCTCCGAACCAATTCCAGGCTCTACTCAGCAGCTGGTTCTGTTAGGTCCCAAGGTTGTTGTTGATCAAAGTTACTGCAAAGCCGGTGTGGGGGCAGGGGATGGGAGATAGGAGCTCACTCTTTTTATTAACAGGGCTTCTTTTCAAATTTCGGCCTCTGGTGTTTGTCTTTCAATGAAGGCTGGTTTATTGCAAGCCGTTGGTTCATTTCCAGTCTTCTGAGAAAGTTGGTTTTGATTCTTTTTGCAAGTATGTGGTTGCTTTTTCTCTCTTTATTTTTTTCATTTGAGAGGCAGAAACAAACAGAAAGGGAGTGCTCCCATCTGATGATTCACTCCCCAAATGCACATGGCTGGGCTCAGCCAAAGCCAGGAGTTGAGAGCTCAGTTCAGGTCTCCCTTGTAGGTTGGCAGGGAGGCAACCCTTAAGCCATCACCTGCTGCTTCCCAGGGTCTGTACCTTCAGGCAGCTGGGGTCAGGAGCCACAGTCAGAAATGTAATCCAATTAATTTTGACGTGAGATGCAGGCACCTTACCGGGTATCTTTAATGGCCGAGTGCCTGCTCCTTTTGTGGCTTTTATGAGTAGATTTGCAGCGATCTTTAATCTACTATTCCAGAAGCACATGTTCAGTCCCTCTCCCTTTTGAAGACACTAGCTGTTTTAAATGCCTCCGACCTTCCAGAAATCCCCGTTAACTCTTAGCAGATGACTGTGCTAATGTGCAGGTCATCCGATGCATGCTCTTTCAGCTTCCCCTGAGCCCCTTCCTCCCTTTTCCTCCCATCAATGCTGCCCGTTTCCCTGACCAAGGCTTGTTTTTCTGCCCCTTCCCAACTCCCAGAGATCTTCTCTAATAGAAGCTTATTCTTGGACCATTTCTTCAATCTCTGCCCCTCCTTTACTAAGAGGTCCCTATTCCTCCCTACGAGCTCAATGTGGTCATCCCTAAGCTGAGAGGTCCTCCTTACTTTCTCTTTGCATGTTCCTCAACAGCCCCCACCCCAGCATTGCACCTGCTGCAAGTGTCATCTGTGTGCTCAGGTTTTCTGGGTAATAGTAGCTCACACTCACCAAGAGTGTTCTCCGTGCCACGCTGTGTGCTAAATGCTCTGTTTACATTGCTTCCCTTAGTGACCCAGCAAGATTAGAAGAAAATTAGAGTCATGTCCATTTTCCAGAGAAGACTGAGTTACAGTGAGGTTAAGTGAGTTGTCCAAGAGCCCATGCCTTACAGAAGAGAGCCTGTTTTCAACCTAAGCCGGTCTGGCACAAAGGCTTGTGTTTCTACCCATGACTCTCAAAGGGATTTCTCTAATGCAGGGTATTGGCATCAGCAGAGGGGAAATGTCATACCTCCCTATGCTTCTCAGGGTTGTCCACTTGGCTCCTAGCTTAGTGTTGGCCAGCTCAAACATACTGCCCTTGTGTCATGCAGCTGCTCTCCCATTATCCACAAAGGCAGACAAGGCACAGCCAGGCTGTCAAGGAAGCTGGTGCCAAAAATAGTGATGCAAGCCTCTGTGGGCTTGGAGCAGGTGTGTTGTGACCTGGGATGTCACTTCTCCATCCTCTGCTCCCACAGGGCGGGCCACAAGGGAGGTGGCCCCATCGTTCTCCAGTGTCCTGAAGGACTGTAGCGTCACTGAAGGCCAGGATTTTGTGCTGCGGTGTTCGGTACAGGGGGCCCCAGTGCCCCGCATCACCTGGCTACTCAATGGTGAGTTGCACTACCCCCTGCCCCCTGGTGCCATGGCTCCTTCAGTTCTCTCCACTCTGAACCATTCGGAACTTAGGTACTCCAGGAGCCTCAGCAGAAAGCACAGATAGGAAGAACATGGGAATAAGGGGTCTACTACTGAGCAGCTGAGCGAGGTATGGCTCCTGCATCTGCTACACATTCCCATTAGCATGATGTGGACAGCACATTTTACCAGGCAGCAGTTTGTGAAACTGAATCCCAGCTTTTACATCAAGCAGCTAATGAGGTATCTATCACAGAAGCACGCAAGCAACTTAATTTCTTTTCAGACTCAAAGGAGGCCCTGAGTGAACATTGCCTGAGTCAACAAGTGAACAAATCAATTAGCCAGCTAACGAAGCACACAGATGTTGCTCGAGGGATCTTACCTTCTGTTGGGTGGCAGGTGGCTCTGGGGTTTGTAGCCCAGTAGATCTGTTCTGTGTTCTGCTCCCATAGAGACATTTCCTCCCACAACCACTTGGGCCAGGATCCTTTGAAATAATGAACTGCCATATCTTATTGCCCTTTTCTCATTTCAAAAGCATGGTAAGACTCTGATTGTAGAGGCGGGAGCAGTCTACTCAACTGAGAAGACTGAACATGAACTCCATGGGGAGGAAAAGGGGGCACTCCCTAGGGAGCACAAGGCTGGGGAGGGTGGCCGGAGACCTGGGATACCCCATTTTGTGGCTCTGAGTGCCAGATGCTTTGTCCACAGGGAGGTAGGCTGGTAAAGAAGGTGCAGGGTCCTGGCTAGCTTTCACACCTGATAGAACAGGTTCATGAGTAGGTAATGGCTTCCTGCCGTACGCACCAAATGGCCCCTGATTGTGCCTACATTGGACAGTTGTCCTCATGAGGCCTCCCAGTGGATAGTTTGCTCAGGCTTTGCTAGAAATCATCATCAGTGAGAGGGGAGACCGCGCAGTCTCCTGATGGGTGGTCTTCTTGGGTGGTCAGTGACAGCAGAGCTTTGCTCCCCTCCTACCCCCATCTGAGGACAGTATTCCTACATGATGGCCATGAGCACTAACCTCACTCCTGCCTGGCTCCGAGGTAGATCACGGGCCAGCCAACTCTTCCAGAAGAGGCAGCCAGGGGACGTAGCTCCGGCTTTTCAGGCCATACAGCGTGGGTAACAATACCCACTCAGCTCTGCCGTGGCTACATCAAACATGGGCCGTGTGTCCGTGCATGAATGTGACTGTGAGACAACGAAGCTTCATTTAGGAGGCACTCCAATGCGAATTCCATACCACAGTCACATATCATGAGGTTCTTCCTCCCTGTTTTCCAACCACCTAAAAATCTGTAAAAACAACTCCCAGCTTGCTGGCGGTTGGGTGGGCAGTGAGTGCCCTGTGTATCTTCACCATTTGCTAACAGCTAGGGATTCCTGGTGAATCTCAGCACTTCCACACCTTCCCATTAGGGGGCAGATGTGCTCTGACTGGGTTCCCCTGGCTGCTTGCTCTGGCCCTGACCAGCCCTGAGCTCCCCATTCCGTCTCCCTTTCCCAACGGGAGCAAGCCTGATGTTGTCACAATACAAACCACTCTATGTGACAGGCTCCTATCTGCTCCCTCCAGCCTCCTGGAGGGTCCACCAGACTGTATGGAACCTCTCCCTTCTGGCCCCATGGCACGTTTGGCACTGTCTTTGCAAAACTGTCGTGGGGACATGAAGTGCTGCTATGTGCAGAAGGAGGCATCGCCCCGTCCCGCCCTGCCACTCACCCCCAGCTCTATGAAGTGTAAACTCTGACTGCCCCTGCCTCTTGGCAAGAGATAATACCGACAGTCGCTTCCTGTATACCAGACAGACACATTCCTGCTCTAAGGCCAGAAGCTTCAGGCATGAGATTTGGGGTGTGTTTCCCCCTGAAAATGAAGGGTCGTGTCCCAGGATGATGAAATCCCAGGAACGTAGACCATTCTGGAAAGCACTGGAATTGGTGGCATATACTCCTGACTCCATGCGGGAATTTCTTTTTTTTTTTTTTTTTAGATTTATTTATTTATTTGAAAGGCAGTGCTGGTGTGGGGGCAGGGAGACAGGGAGTTCTTCCATGTGATAGTTCAGTCCCCAGTAGCCACAGTGGCTACAGTTGTGCAATCCAAAGCCAGGAGCTTCGTTCAGGTCTCGTATGTTGGTGCAGGAGCCTAAGCACTTTGGACCCAAGCACTTTCCCAGTCACATTAGCAGGGAGCTGGACCAGAAGTAGAGCAGCTGTGACATAAACTGGTTACCTCTATGGGATGCTGGCACCAGAGGGGCACCTTTCCTTGCTATGCCACAGCACCAAGCCCATGTGACCTGAAGAAAGGGTTTCTCACAGAAGGGCCAGGGTCAGCCAGGGCCAGCTGCCATTGGCGCCCGTATCTGTGCCCATTTGCCCAGAAGAAAATCACCTCCCCATAGTGTGAGTTTAGCGTGAGGTTGGGGGAAGCAGAATCGCTCATTGACACAGTCTCCAAGGAGGAAGTAAACCTGCTGTTTGTGCAGCCCTCACATTCCACCTAGGCACAGGGTCCTGGGCGCCCCAAGCCTGGGCTCTGAACAAGTGACCCTGAGAGCTTCTGCATGGGCTCTGAGTTCCGTGACTCTGATGCCGTGCAGTGGGAGACTTTTTTTTTTTTTAACACAAAATGCCCAGGAGGACTCTGTCCCTTTCCTCTCCCCTGGATTCTTCCAGGCCCAGTCTTGTGCCCTGACCTCATCCATTTAGTCCATTTGCGTCACTTCCTTAGCCACATTCTCCAGCCCACAGATCTCCATGCAACTGACCGGGTGTGGTGAACTTCAGCTCCAGGGCCACCAGGGACTGGACCCCACCTCATACCCCTGCTCACCTAACCCCACCCCTGGCTCCCATCCTTGCTGCCTGGGCACAGCCTGGCCTTAATCCTCTGTGCTTCCTCCCGCAGGGCAGCCCATTCGGTACGCCCACTCCACATGCGCGGCTGGCGTAGCTGAGCTTCACATCCAGGACGCCCTGCCGGAGGACGACGGCACCTACACGTGTCTGGCTGAGAACGCCTTGGGGCAGGTGGCCTGCAGCGCCCGGGTCACTGTCCACGGTAGGAACCTCCAGGTGCCTTGTTTGAAAAGGCAACTTTCCTGCACACACAGCTGTTACCTAGGAGGTGCACGGGACCTGGCTCCAGTTGTCACGGCACAGCTGAGCTCACCAGAGCCCTCCTAAGGACAGAGGCCAAGGGACTCCTTTCAAAGAGACAGGTGGAAGCCTTCGCCTTCGGGAGTCCCCAGGGACACAGTCAGCCACAGGAAAGGGCTGGTCCCTACCCCAGTGGGAAGTAGGGAGGGCCCCACCTGGCTTCAGCAGCCCCCAGTCAGTAGGAAGAAAGTCGCACACACTACAAGATGAAGGCACACTCAGACATACCCTGAAGTACTTAATGGGGTTCTCACACAGCCCTCAAGCAGGACGTGAAGTGTGGGGACTGGGGCTCCTGGCGGAGGGGCTCGGGGCACCTCACATTGTTCCTGTCTCCTTCTGGGTGTGCTCAGGCTTGTTCTGTCCATCCCCAGCCCACTGTCCAGTAAGCTAATTATCATAGATCAGCCAAGCCCTAAGTTCTCTGGGCAAGCTCAGGGAGCTGTGGACTCAAGGTGATTTGTCTGGGCTCGGGAGGGAAGTACGTGGTCCTGGGGCTTCGTGCTGAGCCACCCCAGGGAAGCTACAGGGTTTGGTTTTGCTGGAAGCAGGGACAGACGTGTGCTTCCCACTACATTCGATCCTTTCACCCATTCCATTTCATCCCACAGTGGGGTGCAGGGGCACCATCCCTCTTTCAGACAGGAAGATCTGTAGTTCTTAAGAAATCTGTGTCACTTGCCCAAGTGCCCCCAAGCTAGTAAGGAAAGCCAGCCTCCTGAACCCAGGCCCTGGCATAGTTTACTGCTATGCCTCGCCTCTCTTCCTCAGAAGAGCATGACCCTGGCCCCAAACAGTGTCAGCCCCTTGGGGACAAAGGAACTGCTACCCAAGAAAAAACAGCGTTGAGGCTTGGCTGCAGGAAACTTTGTAGGGAACTAGTGTGTACCCACAAAGACACTCTGAATTACTTGGAAAAATATTTTGACATGGAGCCATCATGGGTCAACTGGTCTACCCCTTCCTCCAGGAAGCCTGGGAAAGTGTCCCACTTGTCTTGCTCATTCTCATTGCGCGGCTACAGCCCAGGGACATGGGGTGGGGGGATCTGAGGAAACCAGACAGCTCAGACACCCAGGACAAGAATAGTCTCGCTCGCTCCCCTTTGTGCCCAGGCCCCAATAGGCACGGCCCAGCCAAGTTCATGTCGCCATGCAGGAGGAGTCAGCATAGGCCAGGCCATGTAGCTCAGCACCCCTGCTTCCAAAATGCTCCCTGGCTGGCTCAGTCATCTACCTGGCCAATCCAGCTCTTGTTGGTGCTGAGATTAGATTAGCAATATCCATCCAGGCTGATCACCCTTATCCCCTGAGCTGGGTTTCACAACCCTGTGAAGGAACAAGAACTCTGAGGTGACTGCCTGCCCTCTTGCCTATGAGCAGGGTTAGGTTGGGGGAGAGCATGTAACTTCAGTGTGCCAGGCAGCCCTGTGCGGGTGACACCCCACCCTGTGATAGGAGTGGGGGAGGTGTTTCGGGGAGATGTGCTGGCCCGTGCAGGCCAGGCAGAAGCTCAAAGACCATAAATGGAGAAGGAAGTTGGGAGATGCTGTGTGCACGTGGCCCTGTCTCTGCACAGGCCTGGGGAAGGACAGGCCTGGCACCGTGACACCGTTGGCACTTTGCCCAGAGCCACTTGGGAAGGCTCGAGCCACTGCCTGCACCCCTCTCCACCACAAGCTGCAGAGTTTTTCTTAACTTGCCAGACAGCTCCTGTGGCCTCTGATGAGGTGCCAGGGTGCCAGGCCTCAGTGGGGGGCATGGATGGCTGTGAATCCCTCCCTCCCCGACTCCAGTTGCTGGCCTGCAACCAGGACACCCCTTCCTGTCCTGTTGCCCACAGCAGTGCAAGTGTTAAAGGAGCGAATGCACACAGTCCCCAGGGCATAGGAAATAACAGTTCAAGTGCGGGCAAGTTAGGATGGTTGTCCACCTCAACACACCTTGAAGCAAAGCCAAACAGCTAAAGAGGCCAAGACTTAAGAGTGTGGCTTCTACCCGAGGCTTGGCTTGGCCATCGTGCTGTTTGTTGGTCTGGTAGGGGAAGCCAGAATGAGAGGAAGGCAAGTGTGGTGCCTGGTCCCTGGAGCATCGGTTTCTGCACCCAACGTCCAGGGTTCTGGCCACAAGGTGGCACTGTTCAGCAGCGCATCTCCCACCCACCACCTTGAGGTAGCTGTGCTCCGGTCAGGCTCTGTCTGGAGGCAGAGTCCAGCAGCTTTTAAGTCAAGTCAGACATGATAACTCTTCCACCTCTTCAACTATGGGTCCTCCTTGGACTGTGTGCCAAAGGAAGCCTCTGGGATGTCAAGAAAATGAAGAAGTGGTGCTCCAGGCACTGGCCATATAGCAGGGTGTGGGCCTGTTTGAGTACCAACAAGATGGCCTTTATGGCTGCAGCCAAGTGAGCAAGCAGATGGAAGTGATGTAGATGAGCCAAGAGAGAGAGACAGAGAGAGAGAGAGAGAGCTGGGCAAAGTCTGCAAGGGTCAAAGGAAGACATTTCCTCCTCTCATCACTTGACCAACTGTCTGGCAGCCCCCTCCTCCTCTTCTGAGGTTGATCTCAGATGTACAACTGGTTTGCCCTATGTGAACTTAAAAATACCAGCTACTTTTAAAGTGGTTATGTTGACTAAAGAAAAATTGATGAGAGAACAAAAATTAACACCAGTCTTTTAAAAATGTATATGTTAAGGATCTTAATCCACCCAAAACATTCATCCATCAACCTAAGAAGGCAAGCAGATAACTCAGTGTGAGCTCAGTGTATCCCTGAGGTCTGGTTGTGCACAGGTCAGGAGAGAATTGGCCTTGTGTGGTGTATGGGTTCTTCGTGGCGCAGAAAGACTTGTGAGTGCATTGGTGTCAGGGAACTTAAACTTCATGTCACAGAGTGGGCAATGGTTGAGAATGACAGCTGTGTACCCATCCAGCCTCCCCCTTGCCCCCCAAGCGCAGGCAAGCACACCTACTCCCCATGTGGGCAGACTGGGTTCCTCGTGGCAAATGTGTCCCAGTGGAGAGACATCTTGAGGCATGTGGTTCCCAGACACTGGCCGAGAGAGGACCCTGAACACTCTAGAGAAGTCTGTGGAACAAAGACTCCTGGCTGCCTTGGTCGCGTCAGGCTGCCCCTCCAGACTTCTGGCTAATGGGTCAGCAGACAGACCGCGTTGCAAAGACTGAGGGTGCGTCCCTGGGGATCTGGGCTATGAGGGGGTGCCCTGGGAGTGGGGAGAGGCCACAGCTCCTTCCATCGTGGTATCCTGGAGTGACAACCCCTGAAGGCAGGCAGGGAGCTGAACAAGGACTGTGTCCTTGAGCCCTGGGCCAGGCTGGCTGTGGAGCATGAAATAAACAAAGAATCCTACTGCCCCAGCACCCCTACCCCCCTCCACATGCAGTGGATGATTTATTGAATTTCCACAGAATAGCGGGGTTGAGGGTGAACCAGATCTGCTATTGGAATGGCATTTGGCATCATAATAACTAAGAAAAACAGCTCGTGTTGAAAGCCCCAAGAAACTCTTGAGCCAGTTCGAAATAAAAGTAAGCATGTGCATTAAATGTAAATTTGAATCTAGTAATCCGGGGCTTTCCAAGAGCAGTGAGTTGATCAAAAACAGTCTCAGCAGGTAGAAAAAAACAAAAGAGGATTTTTCTTTAAAATTATTTTTTTACTTTATTTGAAATGAAGAGTTACAGATAGAGGGAGAAAGAGCCTCTATCTGCCCGTCCACTTTTCAAATGGCCACAATGGCTGGAGCTGGACCAGTCCAAAGCCAGGAGCCTGGAGCCTCCTTTGGGTCTCTCACATGGGTGCAGGGACCCAGGCACCTGAGCCATCTCTGTAGCTTTCCCAGGCCATAGACAGAGAGCTGGATAAGAAATGGAGCAACTGGAACTTGAACCAGGGCCCATATGGGATGCCAGCACCATAAGCAGAGGCCTAGCCTGCTACACCATGACAGCTGTGCTAAAAGAGAGGCTTTTAAAGAAAAATACAGAGAGGAGTTGGTCTTGCTGCTAACCTCAGAGAAAGAGAAGGAAGGGCTGTGCAGGGATGAATAAGGAGAATGACTCCGGCAGACAGAGGGGCACTGAAACTGCGGTTCTCACTGCCAAGTCCCAGAGCCACCTGCTGGCCCTTTCTCGGGGAGTGGCTCATGCTGGTGGGTAAACTGCAGTGTCGAGGATCCCAAGTCCCTCTCGGTGTGTGAGCTGTTAACCCCATCTGGGGGTGATGAGAAGCCTGCACAATCTGGTGCTGGGCATCACTTCGTGTTTGTGTTTTTCAGCTGAATCCACTGCCAACGAGTTTTCAGAAGGTGTGTGGTCTCAGTAGAAGGCGTCTAGTTGGCACCTCACACCTCCAAGTGAAGAAAGTAGAATGCTCAGCGAGGTGAAGGCAGCTGCCCAGAGCAGCCCAGGCCCAAGTATAAAACCAGGCCTGCAATGGCTTCAGCCCTGGGACACGCTGCCTTGCTGTAAACCCTGAAACACCACATGTTAGCTGACTCTGCTTCACCTGAGTGAGAATATGTTCAGTTTCCTACCCAGGAACTGCCTTCAAAAACAGCCCCACTAGTGAGCCCACAACAGTGGACACAGCCAGGAAGGAAACACACTGTGGTTTCGGGAAATCATAAACAGGTGTGTGTGTGTGTGTGTGTGCACCTAGGTGTGTGTGCAAACATGTGCATGTGTATATTGCACTATACATACAGTGTGAGCAAGTGCATGTTGCAAGTGTGTGCATGTCTAAGAATGCAAGTGTGTGTGCAACCATGAGCATGTGTACATGTGCCTCTCTCATCTCTCCGCCCTCACTCCCCTCTCCCCATTTCCTTCCCTCTCCCACAGAACCTTTCTCCTCTGTCTTCTGTGCTGTGTCTGTGCTCTCTGTCCTATGCGCTGTGCCTTCTCAGGTGCTGTTCATATCACGGGTCTGCAGGGCCCTAATTCCCATCCATACTTGTTTCCACTGGCAGATCACTCTTATTCCACCCTTTCTGTCTAAAGGGAGGGTAGAGGTCAGTGGAATGATTAAGTTGGCAGAGAGTAGGCCCACACCCAGCACCAGGGCACCAGAAAAAGCTCACTTTGGATCCTAACTTCAGACCACCTGTTTCTGGACTCTTCCCTGGACTTGGTCTCAGCAGACCAGCAGGAAAGCCCAGGAGCAGGTAGGCTGGGCAGCATGTCCTTGTCTCTGGGCCATTTGGCATCCCTGGGCTCAGGCACTCTGCAGGACGGTCATGGCCCACCTTAGCTCCCTGTGAGCTGTGTCAGCCCTTGGGGCCCTTGAGGTAGGTCAGCTTCCTTCTGAGTCTCAGCGTCCTCCTCCATCCAACAGGGCCACCATGGCATCAAGAAGTGCTGAGCCTATCCAGTTATGCTCTGTGGCGGCTCTCATGCCTTTTCCTGTCTGGTTTGACATGAGCATCCTGGCTAGCGGGGATAGGGGAGGGACTTCTGTCATCCAATTCAGGATCAGGTTGCGTCTGTCTAAGTAGCAGAGATGCAGGGTCAGGACAGTCAGAGATGTGTTGTGTCTGTAGCTGTGGCATGCCAGCTGCGGTCCTGGCTGTTTCATGTTAGTTCTCCAGACTGTCTAATACTGCTACTACACTAATACCCTGTTACACTGCCCCACACAGGGGGCAGAGGTCGGTCCCATGCTGTCAGCAACTGGACTTGGAGGAGAGACTTCCAGCTTGGGTGGGCAGGGCTGGGGAGGGTTGAAGACATGCTTGCCTGTTTATTAGCCTCCTTGTTTGGGAAGACCCCCGGGAAAGGCCTGACCCCTTTGAAAACAGGCCTGTGTGTGAACTCCAGGTCTGCTTGCACCAGTACCGTGACCTTGGACAAGCCACTTCCCTGTAACATATCATAAGCATTCTATCAGCAAAGCAGGGTGATGGGTTTGCTAATAAGGGCTGTGCCTCTCGAGCCACCCAAGTAGGAAGTCACTGACCCAGATGCTCTGGTCCCCTCAGCTCCCCACCCCCAAGCAGTGTGTGTTGGGTGGGAAGTGAATGTTCACAGGCAATGTTGGGCTGGTGTTCTCTCTACAGGGAAGAATATGGGGCATCTGAAGGCTTGGGATGCATCAGCCACCCCAGTCTGCTTTCAGCACAGGTCACCCTAGCCCGAGGAGATTGACCCTGCTGTACCTACTGGGAAACCCCAGAAGCAGATTTATTCCAAATACTTCCCCCCTTCCCAATCAACCATTCATTGTGCCTCTCATTCTTAGAGAAGCAGCAACAGGATCAGAGATGGTGGGTGATGCTGCAGCCGGGTGCCTGCCTGGGTGTGAGGGGGTGCTCTCACTTCAGGACCTCCTGGTGAGGGCAGGGTTGGGAAGAGAGAGTATGCAAAGAAGTTTGTTTCTGACTTGCTATGAGCCGTCTTCCATGGATACATGGGCCTGTAAGCCTTAGGCAATGCTCTGTCCCCTGTGCTTTGAGTGCTGCAGCTCAGCCCGTGACGTCAGTGAGCAAAGGGGCATAGGCCTGAGTGGTCCTTGCACCAACCATGTAGGATTGCCAGTGTCTGGCCCAGGTGGTAGCACAGGCAGTTTTCACCTGTCGTCTCTGCCGCTGTCCGGGGCCCTGTGATGATGCCACCCCTGGAGACAGGTGGAGGACACTGGGCAGATGGGTACTTGTCCGAGGCCACTAGAGTTCAGGGCAGCACTGCATCAGCCATGTGGGCTCTGAGAGAATCAGGGAGGCAGCTTTCAGACCCCTCCCATGCATGCCTGGGTTGTTGGGGTCCACAGTGGGTGGGGAAATTCCCAAAGGAGAGAGGGACAGAAAGATTTCCAGTTTGTAGTAGCTGAAAACCCCAGGACAGCTCTGTATTCACAAAAACCCCAGTCTAAAAAGCAGGCAGCAGGAGGAATGGAAAGAGGGTGGAGCCCATGAGAGGTAGCCTGGAAGAGAGGAGGAATGGAGTACCTGATGTCCCCAGAGTACCTAGAAACTGGTACCCACAGGAACCGGGCAGTGACAGCAGAGAGGCGGCGACAGGGAGTGGTCTGGATCAGGGGTGGGGGAAGACATCGTGTCCTGGAGCCTTCTCAGTCCGTGCAAGACAGGAAATTCCTCAACTCTCCCGAGGCCATCCATGTCCGGGAGCCAAGAGAGGTCTGTGCGGCTCCAGTGCTACACACCCAAGTCCACAACCAGGCCTCCTGCCCAGGCCTGCAGGTTGCTACCCCCACCCTCCACCCAGCGTATAGTGGTGCCTGGGCTGGGATGTCGGGCAGCAGCAGGGCCTCCTGAGTCCTGTCTCTGAGCCAGAAGGGAGTAGTACCCACTCAGGCACTCCTGGCTAGTGCCTTTGTGAGTACATCTGCTCTTTGGGGGGCAGTTTCCCCAGCCTCCCAGGCCTTGCCAGCCTTTCCCTATCCACAGAGCCAGAGGCTGGACCAGGTGAAGTTGGCAGCAACCCTGATTCTGTTTTCAGTGGAATCAAGCCTCTCCCAGCTATGTGTATCGCTGCAGACCTAGGCTTCCTAAAGAAGCTTGTGGCCATGAGCTAACAATATCCCAGAAGGCCAGAGTGGCAGTCCCTTGAAACTTTAGCTAAGAGCCATCTTAGCTGTCTTTATCTGTTTTCTGTAGCTGTAACCAAAACCCCTGAGGCTGGAAACTTGCAGATTGATTTCAGCATGTAGTTATAGAGGTCTGAGAACTTGGTACTGGCACCTGCTCAGCTTCCCCTGGGGCCTTGGTTTACATCATGTCGGTGGGGTTTTGAGCAGAAGGGGAAGCAGATATATGTAGAAGCACATGTGTAAGAGAGACAGGGCAGGGGCAGGCAGGGATGTCCCAGACACCCACAATGGCAACCTGCTCTAGTCCCACGAGACCTAATTCACTCCTGCAAAAACTAATCCAGCCTCCAGCAAACCCAACCCAGTCCTTTGAGACGGACTTGATCCATTCGTGAGGGTGGTGCCCCCTTGGGACCTCAGCACCTGTAAAGCCTGACCCCACCATCTTGGAAATCAAATCTCAGTGTGCATTTCCATGTGGATAAACTGTCTAACTCTAGCCCCACCCCTATCTCAGTGCCCGTGTCATCCGAGATAAAGCTGGATGAATTTGGTAACGTTTCTAGCTACCTGTCCCCCAGGTGGCACAAAGGGAAAGACAGCGGCAAGACACTCTTTGGTCACTTCTGAGTACCACATGAGTGTATCACTTATTCAAAAAGCAATAAGCTTTAGGGGGAAAAATTCCATAGGATGCCAACTCTCAGTGAGGGACAGTGTTGACCAGCCATGGCTCCATGGAGTTCTTGTTGCCCCCATCCTGCTCTGGGGCAGGAGTGCTATCAGGCCAAGCCAGCCAAGCAACAGGGCTGGTCTTGTCCCTGCTGACTTCTGAGTCTCTCCTCAAGCTTGCAGTCTCTGGAGTGGGGAGACCTGAGTGGCAACCCAGGGCTGGCTGCACCGAGTGGCCATGTGGTCTGTGTTGAAGGAATGAATGAATGGCTGCTCACCCCTACCTTCTGTTGTCTACTGCACAGAAAAGAAGAGTGACAGGAAGCGTGAACACCTTCTGCCCGTGGCTCCCAGCAAGCCCATCGCACCTGTCTTCCTACAGGGCCTCTCGGACCTCAAGGTCATGGATGGCAGCCAGGTCACCATGACAGTCCAGGTGTCAGGTCTGTGTCTAAATGTCTCCTTAGGGAATAGGCGGGAGTTGTCATGCTTGCCATGGGGGGTACTGCTGCCCCCAGGGGAGCACTGATTCCACCAGGTAATCCACACAAAGCTATCAGGTAAGGCATCCAAGAAGAAGCATTTGCTCACCTCTCTTTCCTGTCTCTTGTGGGTTTTCTGGATTCAAGGTTAAACAGTCTAGAGGCCAGCATTGTGGCATGGCAAGCTGAGCCACAGCCTGCAATATTGGCATCCCATCTGCCCTCTCTTGAGCCTTCTTGGGCCTGAGGGCACCCAGCCCACCTCAGCAAGCCTGTTTGGGGGACCTTGCTCCTGGGAAGTTAAGCCCAGTGGTCAGCTCTTGCATCAGAGAACCATTGCCAAGAGCCATTGTTTTATGCCCTAACACACCCCTGGAAACAGCCTAGGGCAAGAGAGCAGTGAGAACTGGCTGCCATCCTCTGAGAGCCCTGTTGGGAACTCTTTGGCAGGCTGGAGCCCTTCCTTACTCACAGTACAGCATTTGCATGGCAGCAAATTACAGTGCACATTGAGTTGCCTTTTTGTTTTGTTTTGTTTTCATTTGTAAGAGAGTCACCACTGTCTGGATGTGGATATGCTACATTAGGCTATGTTGAGTAGAAAGTGTGTTTCCTTGGAACCCAGTGCTTCTGTTGCCATTTGATGTCATTAGGCAGTTTGGGAAGGCAGAGTTACAGAGAGAGAGGAAAGATCTTCCATCTGTTTGCTCACTCCCCAAATGGCCACAACATGGCCTGGGCTGGTCTAGGCTAAAGAAGCTATTATGCCCCTGCATAATAGCCTACTGGCTAAACCCTCACCTTGCATCCACTGGGATCTCATAAGGGTGCCAGTTCATGTCCTGGCTGCTCCACTTCTCTTCCAACTCCCCGCTTGTGGCCTGGGAAAGCAGTCAAGGATGGCCCAAAGCCTTGGGATGTTGCCTCCATGTGGGAGACCCAAAAGAAGCTCCTGGCTCCTGACTTCAGATTAGCTCAGCTCTGGCAGTTGCAACCACTTTGGTAGTGAACCAGTGGATGGAAGATCTTTCTTTCTGTCTCTCCTTTTCTTTGCAAATCTGACTTTCCAATAAAAATAGCAGATCTTAAAAAGAAAGGGGGAAAAAGAAGAAAAGAAAAGAGAAGAAAAGAAAAAAGAAAAGCCAAGCCAAGCCAGGAGCTGGGATGCTTTTTCTGGGTCTCCCACATAGGTGCCCAAACACTTGGACCATCCTCCACTGCTTTCTCAGGCACATTATTAGCAGGGAGCTGGATCAGAAGTGAAGCAACTAGGACTCAAACCAGCTTCCGTATTTCCCATATTGGATGTTGGCATTATAGGTTGTGGCTTAACCCATTGCCCCTTAGCACTAGCTGCAGCCTCCCACACCTCCGTGCTAGGTCTTTGTCCTCACCTCTAAAATCACATGTTCACTTCCAAGTTCTTTCTATAGTCTCCCCAAACCTGTAGGAACAAACACATATCTAGCATTTTCTTTGCACCAATGCTGTTCCCACCTGCTCTCCTGATGGGCAGCCAGCAGGACGACTAACTGTAGTCCTCCCTGTCTCCTGTGAAGTTGATGCTGTTGGCCACTGAAGCCAGAAGAGTCAGAGAGAATGTGCAGGGGTCAGGCAGGGAAGCCCCTCGCTGACCGCAGCCACCCACCCCCCTTGCCCCTTCTCTTGGTCCAGGGAGTCCGCCCCCCGAGATCCTCTGGTTGCACAACGGGAAGGAGATCCAGGAGTCAGAGGACTTCCACTTTGAGCAGAGGGGCACTCGGCACAGCCTGTGCATCCAGGAGGTGTTCCCCGAGGACACAGGCACCTATACCTGCGAGGCCTGGAACAGCGCTGGCGAGGTCCGCACCCAGGCTGTGCTCACCGTGCAAGGTGAGTCTCAGCCAGTTGGAGCAGGTGGGGAGGGGGAGGCAAAGAGGCCCCCACCAGCCAACCTGGTACCCAGTGTCACCCCGGAGACCTGATCCCCATTCAGTTACAGCATACTCCAAACACAGCTGCCGCCTTCCCAGCTCTCTTGAGTCCCTGCTCTCCCTCTCTGGGATCCTGGTGACAAGCTGTGCAGAGTGCTAAGAGGGGACACTTAGCCATTTGGCAGCGGTAGCTTTTGTAGCAAATCAGAAGCTGATCCGAGCCCTTGGCTTTGGAGAACCAACACTTAGGAGGGTTAGCGAGTCAAGCACACACAAAACGAGTGGCAGCTCTCAGTCACATGCAGTTGGTGTGAGTGTCTGCCCGCCGCCCCCAACCCCCGATTGGCTGGTGCCTAGCGCCTTGCTTTGGCTGCACCTTGCTTTGGCTGTGCAAGTTCATGTTCACTTATACCATCTGAGAAGGGAAGCAGAGTGGCCACAGCCCAATGCATGCAACCCAGATGCTTCCCATACACGCTGGGCAGCATGCAGGTTTCAGATCCTTCCCCTCAAGGATAGCTGGGGAGTGGATTTGACTGCTAAGAAGCTCCCTTTCCAGCTGCACCCTCTGCCAACCTCCAGAACCCCAGGATGGTACGCAGCCCTGGTTCATCAGCAAGCCTCGCTCCGTGACGGCCTCCCTGGGCCAAAGCGTGCTCATCTCGTGTGCCATCGCCGGTGATCCCTTTCCCAGTGTGCACTGGCTCCGAGACGGCAAAGTGCTCTCCCAGGACACTGGCCACTTCGAGGTGCTGCAGAACGAGGACGTGTTCACCCTAGTCCTGAAGCACGTGCAGCCCTGGCATGCCGGCTGCTACGAGATCCTGCTCAAGTAAGTCACCCGTCCTGCCAGCACCCCCAGCCCCACATTCCTCACTCCTGGACATGGGAATGGGAAGCCAGGGAAAGGGGTGCTGGGGAAGGGTGTGGACTCTCCAAGGGAAGGTAAGTGCAAGCTTGCTGCCACCAACCTGCTCGTGTTTGTTCCACTTTCCTGGAACGGATATCACCTGAAGCTCTCCCCTTTGGGGCTTCTTTTCCCCGAATCCCCTTGTCCAGATGTATACTGGATTTTGATCCACCCTACTCCTGTTCCAGTTAGTTGATGAATGGAAAATATGAAGTAGGGATGGAGAAAGAGATTTGCCTCCTTGGAAAGAGGAGCATCCAAGAATTTGCAGACTTCTTCAGAGTGTCACAGGGAAGTTAACTTGCTCCATTCCCTTTTTCTTCCCTCTTTTCTAGGTCTTGCTTAGATCACACAGGCACCACAGGGCTGCTGTGTTGCATTCCCAGGCCTAGGACAGTATCTGGCATGTAGGCAGCATTGCTCCAGTCTAGTGAGTAGGAGCCAGAAACATACCACTTCTAAGGTGCTCCAAGCCTACTGGCCCTGGGTTGGTGGGAACACAGTGTTGGCCTTGGGCCCTAGGGCTGTCGGAGTGTTTGCTGCACTTTGACCTGCCCATCACCCTGAAGGTGGTAAGACCTGTGCTGCGTTGGGTACCTGGTTTGTGGACTTGGTTTCTTGAGTGCATCCCATTCAAGGCTCTGGGCTGCTGAGGGATTCTGTTGCTACAAGCCAAGGTTACGACCATGGTGACATACTACTTCCACAATACACAAACACGTACTCCATCCACTGGGGTTCTTCCTGGGCCTGTACACTGATAACAGCACTCACTGGCCTTTACTCCTTCTTTCTTATCGACCTGTGGGTCTGCTAGGAAGTTCCACTGATTCCATCACAGCTTAGGGAGCCTCCGCTGAGCTCAGTGACATACCCACCCTCAGGTAATGCAATGGCTATGGCTTGCTGGTCACCCTCGCTGACCACACCAGCTGCCTTGGCCTTGTGCACAAGCCAGTGATTGCCAAGAAGACAAACCTGCCTCCCAAACCAGAGAAGTTCCCTTTAGCCCCAAGGTCAGCACAAAGAGTAAAGAAAATATTGTACAAAACATACAAAGTTACTTCCAAAGTTGGTAGAAGATTAAAAGATAAAAATCATTGTTATGCAGAGAAGTCTAAACTCCATGCATTTTTTTCATGACACCTATTTCCCATGAACTTACCCCAGAATCTGTGTGTACAGAAGCAGTCCTAGGAGAGGATGCTTGAGATGAGCTATTTCAAGGTGAAAGGAGGTGGGGCACATGAGTCTTGGCACATGAGAGGAGATTTGGCCATTGAGTGGGCTGAGTAGTAGAGGGTGGGGAGAAGAGAGAGGGAAGCTGAGGGCCGTGGGAGGCTCACAAGGCTGGACAGGAGGGGAGGCCGGGAGGGCAGCAGGCAGACTGTCTGGGGCCGGCTGCGGACAATCATAAAACTTTGACTGCCCCAGCTAATAGGGCTCTCGGAAGTTATGTAACCTCCGTCTCATCTAATACGGGGGGAAACTGAGCTCTCGGGGTCACAGACTTGCTCAGGACCACCCACAGGCAAATGTCACAGCTTGCATCTGAACCCTCATCCTTCAACCTCAAATATTTATCCATCCCCCTCCCCTTAATCCAGCAACAGAGAGTTCCACTCAAGTTCACTGAGAACCTGGGGGCCCTTGGGAGATGCACTGCAATCTCCACCTGTGCAGTCCTGGCCTCTTCCTTGTCCAACTTCCAGCATCTTCATGGCTCTGGAAGGTTGTGGCCCTAGCCTTGGCTGTATCACCAGCTCAGGAGTTGGCCATTGGGATGAACAGCCTACCACTGGCTCGTGTTGGCCAGCAGCTGATGGAAACAGGTGCCAGGGTGCTGGGTATCGCTCTCTGGCAGGACCTGACATGGATCCTCTACAAGCTGGCCCAAACCCCATCAGCCTTCCCGAGAGCTTCAACAGCCCCCAGGGATTCCCAGCCCCCATGAGGCTCCTACTTGCTGCTTGCATCCTGAACCCCGGAGTTTTACAGACTGAGGTCCCGCCCTGAACCATAATTAGTGGCCTAAGAGCTTGGACTCTAAGAAGGGTAGTGGAAGGAGCCAAGCTTTGGGTGGCTAGCTGGGAAGGGATGAGTGGTGGAGAGAGAGCAGTGAAAGAGCTTAGGTCCTCAGAAAGGCCCAAGCATGAGCTAAGTTGGGGGCCTAGGGAGAGGGACAAACACAGGGGTCCCCAACAGGTAAGAAGAGCCTTGAAGTAGGGCATCCCAAATCAACCCTCTCCTTATTTCAAAGGAATCTCAGCACCCAGGGTCAGTGAGCAGTGGCCCCACTGGTGCTGAGGCTCATGCCCCAAGCCCCAGACTACAGTGTCTGTCCAGGCACAGAGACGGAGACACATCCTCACCCATATCAGCAGAGTGCACACTCCCATGCTCACATGTCTGTCTCTCTGGGTAGGACCTACACCTGCACAGCCCAGACCTGCAGGAACTACCACATATGCCTTTCCATGAACAGTCTTCCAGAAGCTCCTAGCCAAAATGATGAAAAGAGAAGCTTGTTGGACTGCCAGGACTTTTGAGGCTCATACAAGGTTCTTCTATAATCTGCACGTTCCGTGAGCTCGTTGAAGATCACACATACACATGCTCATACACACACACACACACACACACACACACACACACACAAGGACAGATGCATGCTGATGAGATTGTTGGAAAGAGTGCAGAGGTCACTGGAGTTATGCAGATAGACCCAGGTCTCACCCTCTTCCTCACAGGCTAAGCACTGTGAAGTCAGACAAATGACATTAGCTTTTTAAGCCCAGGGTTTTCTCACCTGGAACAGCCTTGCCAAGCTGCCAGGAACTACATGAGATGGATGGTGTCAGGAAGGTGTCGCAGCACCTGCCATGTCCCTGGGAAAAAGGTTAGACCGTCTCCTTTCCTTGCCTTTAAAATGGGCATAATCGTGGGGTACAGGTCCCTTGTGTGTTGTAGAGAACCAGATAACGGCATGAACGTCAGGGTTTGAAGGGCATATGGGCAATGCATTCCTCAGTACCAGGAGGAGTCCCTAGGGCTCCTAAACCAGGCCAGGCCTCTGCTTCATCTGAACCAGAGAAACACCAGCAGGTGGCGTCCTTGCAAGGCTGGGGGAACAAGCTGAGGCCCCTCCCCTGAGCAGTGAAGCCCTGGGCTGGCCAAGTCTTGCATGGTTATGACTTGGGAGAACTCTAACCAGTCCCATGGACAGGAAGGATGCAAAACCCCCCACACCTGCAGGAGGAAAGGAAAGGGGCCACTCTCACGGGGAGACACTTCTGGGGGTCTTAATACAGAAAAATTCTGATCTCAGGGTACCCCAGCAGCCGGGGAGTTGGCTGAGGCCACAGGAAGCAGACCAGGGTCGCTGAGGAAGACTGGCCAGCATGCTCTAGCCTTGTACTCTCCTGGCATTGCCTCGTATTGTGAGGACAGGCTTTCTACCCCTAGACTGATGCCTGGTTGAGTTACTGTCTGCACAGACTTCTTGGCTACTGCTGCTTCCTTTGAAACAAGAGCTGAGACCATCAGGGGGTGACCACAGGATGATAGAGGACCTTGTCTTAAACCTGAGTCTGGGATGGATGGCACAGCTGAGCCCTTGACCGCTATCCTCCAGGCTCCCAGCCCACACTCCCCCTGTGTACCTCACAGCCCTGGGCTGATCAAGCGAGTCAGCCAGCCAGCCCTTGGCCCAGAAAGTTCCTTGATCTTCACTGACCACCCCCATCCTCCCCACACACAAATTCCTCAGGAACCGAGTTGGTGAGTGCAGCTGCCAGGTGTCTCTGATGCTACAGAACAGCCCAGCCAGAACCCCCATGCGGTAAGTGCCAACCCTGTGGGCCATACCCCCAGCCCCACAGCTCCCATCCTCTACCCCCACCAGCTTCCCTCAGGGTCTGTGTCCTGCAGCTGAGGTGGCCAGAGCCAAAAGGGAGCAACTGAAAGGGGAGTGAGGGAGGGAGAGCAGAGGAAAGGAGGGGGTAATTTTTTTTTTTTGCACACACCCTTATAAGGCTACTGAAGTCATTACCGATGTAATAAACCAACTAGGCCAGCGAGAGGCTGCTCACCAATGTTCCCTTCTATAAACACAGCCTGGCCGGGGGCCCCCCCTACTCCCGCCTCTCTACCCTCCGCCCTCAGGGATCTGCTCGCCCCTGACGTTGCTGCCTTCTTACCCGGCCCCCTTTTCCTCTTGCCTCTTTCCTCTTTTCCTTCACTGGTTGCAGGGGGAGGGAGCCTGCCAGCTGTGAGGGCCTCTGCAGCACAGGACTTGATGCTGATGGTGGTGGTGGCAAGCGCTATGGGACCCTGAGGTCCTGGCAGTCAGCAGCAGCAACAGGGCAGGATTGGCCCGAGAAGGAGGAGGAGGAGGAAGACGGGGAGGACGTACGGGGGCTTCTGAGGAGGCGTGTGGAGCCCAGGCAGTACACAGAGGAGACAATCCGCCAGCAGGAGGTGGAGCAGCTGGACTTCCGTGAGCTGCTGGGGAAGAAGGTGAGTACCAAGACCCTGTCAGAAGAGGAACTCAAGGAGATCCCAGCTGAGCAGATGGATTTCCGCGCCAACCTGCAGCGGCAGGTGAAGCCCAAGACTGTATCCGAGGAGGAGAGGAAGGTGCACAGCCCCCAGCAGGTGGACTTCCGCTCGGTGCTGGCCAAGAAGGGGACTCCCAAGACCCCTGTGCCTGAGAAGGCACCAGCTCCAAAACCTGCTACCCCAGATTTTCGCTCAGTGCTGGGCAGCAAGAAAAAATTACCCACGGAAAATGGTGGCAGCGATGCTGAGACCGCGAATACCAAGGCAACAGAAAGTCCCAAGCCCGTGGGCAATGCGCAGCTCTCAGGGTCTCTGAAACCTGTGGGCAGCAACAAACCTGCTGAGACCCTGAAGCCTGTGGGCAGCGCCAAGCCTACTGAGACCCTGAAACCTGTGGGCAATGCCAAGCCTGCCGAGACCCTGAAACCTGTGGGCAATGCCAAGCCTGCCGAGACCCTGAAACCTGTGGGCAATGCCAAGCCTGCCGAGACCCTGAAACCTGTGGGCAATGCCAAGCCTGCCGAGACCCTGAAACCTGTGGGCAATGCCAAGCCTGCCGAGACCCTGAAACCTGTGGGCAATGCCAAGCCTGCCGAGACCCTGAAACCTGTGGGCAATGCCAAACCTGCTGAGACCCTGAAACCTGTGGGCAATGCCAAGCCTGCTGAGACCCTGAAACCCGTGGGCAATGCCAAACCTGCTGAACCCCCCAAACCAGCTGAGAAAGAGGAACTCACAAAGGAGGTCAAGAATGATGTGAACTGTAAGCGAGAGAAAGCAGGAGCCACAGATGGTGAAAAGCCAGCTGAGAGCCAGGGAACAGCCCCGATCTTCAAGGAGAAGCTGCAGGACATCCGGCTGGCCGAGGGTGAGAAGCTGCTGCTGCAATGCCAGGTGTTCTCCGAGCCCCCGGCCACCATCACCTGGACTCTGAATGGAAAGACACTCAAGACCACAAAATTCATCATCCTCTCCCAAGAAGGTAACCTAGGGCGGACATGGGGGAGATGGGGCCCTGAACCAGGTTGCTGCCAAGCTCACAGGTCCTTGAGTTCTTGTTGGTGACTTCTATGCCCTGCCTTATCCTCTCACCCCCAACCCACAGGCCTCAGGTCCGTGCTCTCTGTGGTTGATGGTAAGGGTTGATAGCAACCCCACCACAAAAGCAACCTCACCACCCCAAGGAGCCCTAGGTCTGAGCTGATGCCCCTCTATTCCTGTGTGAGAGAGGCAAGATAGCAAGTGGGAGACACAGCAGTTGGTGCTCACCAAGGGGTCTGAGCCAAAAGCTACTGGACCAACAGCATGATAGTAATGGGTTTGGGGTGGGGGACAGCATGCCATGACCAGTGATACCAGGTCCATGAGCAGGGTCAGCAGCAACTTCAGTCCAGCGGGCTGTGTGGCTGGGAGAGGACCTGTGGGGCAGCCAGGAGACAAAACAGCCCCGAGCAAGCCGGCACGAGCTCCCAGGCAGATGGAGCAGCTCGCTTCCTAATTTGGATGAGACTTTTGTTTGCTGCTATTTCACATTCTTGGGTGGTGGGGAGGGTGGGGGTGGAGGCAAATCCTGCCATCTGTGGCCTTTTGGGGTCTGGGGCTTCCAGGCAGGCCAGTTTATATCTGCAGAGAAGATGGGAGCAAGAGCAGTGTTGTCTCTGGACCTCCTTTCGGTTTGGAGGAGCCACCCCCTCCCCCCATCCCAGAGTTGGAGCCACACTCCTTGTTGGTGGCTGGTGGGGCAGTGGGTTGCCTATGCCAGGAAAAGGCCCTGCCTGAGCTGACACTGATGCTGGTGACTTTGGCCAGCCAAGGGTCCAGAGATGTTCCCCGGAAGGTGACCATTGCCCATAACAGGTGATAGGACAGCCAGTGCAGAGGCCACAGCACACAAGTCCTCTTAGTCCATGCCTACAATAACAGAATTGCTGTGTCCTGCACTCCTGGCTTGCCACTCTCTGGTGGTCCTGTCCTCCCTCCAGTCCCACCTGTCTTCCTCTTCAACACTGGGAGGAAGCCTTACACAACACAGGATGCCTCTGAGCTCAGAGTGAGGCTTCCTCTTTCACTCTGCATCTCAGACAGCAAATCAAATACCCACACCCCACCCCTGCCCCGCCTTGAGTATTCTAAGCCTGTATGCCCAGGAACTACAGAGGGCTCAGTGCTCCTTCCCGTTGAGTTGTCAGCACTGTGACTTTTTGTGCTGGATGTTCCATATTGGTAGAGCCCTCCAGACCTCACTCAGTTTGTGCCAGCTCAGCCTCCCTTAGGTCCATACACAGCTGAGTTTGGGGTCTTACTGTAGTAGGGCCACATGTCCCAGGGGTGGGTGCCACAGCCTTCCTTGCAACCCCTGAGTGGGGACCCTACCTACTGGGTTGACCAGGAGCATGTCCCAGCTCACCCTGTGGTGCCCCCCCTTGGGACAAGGGCAGTCACACAGTCCTACTTGAGGTAAGGTCCATGGTTACCAAGGCGGGTGGAGGGGGTGAGGGAGAGGGGTGGGAAGTGAGGAGGGTGCTGGGGTGAGAACAGGGCCCAAAGCCGTGCTCATGGGTCTGAGGCCTGCTCAGGGTTTCAACTTGAGAGCTGCCAATGGCCCTTGGTAAACAACTCGCCCAGCCAAGCAACATAAGGCAGACCCTGCCCCCATCTCAGACACATGTCCTGAGCTGAGCCCCTTGCCACTCACTGGCTTCTCACACCCAGGGTGTCCTGAGAGGTCACCACCAGGGAGAGGCTTATTCCCACACCCTTGCATTGCCTCCCATGGAAACCGTAAGGTTATCTTCTTGAGGTCCAGTGCCAGCTCATCACAATTCAGAATCTTCTAGATACCCATAGAATTCTTCAGTAAGTCAGAGTAGCTCACAACTGTTAAACATGCCAACTGGCTCTCCCTTCTGTATTTTGCAATGTCCATCCACTCATGTGACTTCCTCCACCCCCAAACACTGCCATGATGTGAGTGCAACAGAGCAGTTAAGCCCCTGGCCCGGGTGCACAACTTGTACGTGCAGCAGAACTGGCAGATGAGCTCAGCAGCCCAATTCCCTGTGCTGCATCCTCTCTGAGAGTCCAGGCGCAGCCAAGACATCGTGGGTGTCCACAGTGAACGCTAAGGACTGTTGCAGATGTACATGGTCAGCAGCTGTCAAAAGGCTGATGCGGCCCTGGACTGGCCAAGCCTCTAGTATCTTGACAATCAAGGAAGGACACTGCTATTGGGACAGTGTGTATGTGCCTTGTCAAAACGTGGGCCTCATCTGCTATTTTTCCTCTGGGTGCATCTTCAGGAGCCTGGCTGAGCTTTGTTCAGGGGGAGTGCCTCCTCAGACCTTGGCAGCTGACCATCTGCAGGTCCCTTGTGGGCAGTAGGGCATCAGGAAATCTCATAGATCTGGACAGAGGACATAGGCAGTAGTGAAACCATGGGAGTCAGGTGCAGGTGAGTGTGCCGCAAACAGGTGTTGGCAGCAGATATATGGGGTGTGAGGACTGCAGCCACAGCCAAGGGCTGCTGGCAAAGGAGCCAGGCCTCCCCACTGAGCCCTGAAGACAGAGCCAGGACATAGAGAAGCAGGGCAAGGGACAACCAACTAGGCTGTGCAGGCCCCCAGTCACATCCTCCAACAGGCCTAGGAACTTGAGTCATGCAGGACTGTGGAGTGAGGGGTACTGTGCACAGAACTGGAATTGCAGGAGTGCTGCTGGCTGCTGTGCCCAAAAGGCAAGTTCAGAGCCTATGGAAGAGGTCAGAGATGGAGGTGGGGAAGCCTGTACTGCCATGACAAGCCAGGGTTAAGCAGGACACAAGCACTAGAATCTGTTGCTTGGTGGTGTGGAGGTGGCAGAGCGCTGAGTATATGTGTCTGTTTCGGGTGGGGGGGTCACCTGAAAAAGGGAGGTGGTGACCTACAGGGAATGATGAAGAGACAGGTTGTCCTGGTCCTCCTCCCCTCTCCATCCCCACCCCTACCCCTGACACGGAGCCCTTCCTGTCAGTCTGTACTGACCCTCCTTCTGTCACTTCTGCTACCAACAATCACTTTCTCCAGGCCACCTGTCAGCCCAGTAGCACCACACTCCCTCCCCATGTGTACCTGTGTGCAGTGCATGTTGGGGGATACTCTGCTTCTGGATGGAGGGGAGGGAGCTTCTTTGTTGTCTGATGGGGCTTCAGAGTCCTCATAGCCCACAGAGCCTACCCCAAACCAACACACACACACACACACACACACACACACACAACACCACCAAGCAGGAATCCAACCACCCTGCTCAGGGCCGGGGGCAACAGGGAAAGAGGTGTGAGCTGTTGCAGTTGGCTATTGATTAACTCTGGATTCGAACACAAATCCATGTAATGGTTCTGCTTCTTCCTGTACCCCCAGAGCTGCAGGGTAGATGGAGCTCAGGATGCCACTGTGCCCACCCCCCCATCTGCCTGGGAACCTGTGTGCCACATCTGGGCCCCCTGTCATGCACCTGACTGCTGGGCTGCCCCTAAGGAGAACTTTCCTCTACATGTTCTGCTTGCTGCCTGCCGCCCAGGCCTCCCCCACCAGTAAAACATCCTTCTGGCTCTGGCTTTGTTCTTTCTGGCCTTGAGGATTTATTCCCAGTTGTCCTCAGGGTAGTGGCTTTCCTTGCAACCTGTGTAAGTCTATCCCACGCAGCATGAACATCCACAGTTCCCAGTGTGCAAAGCCACTGTTTGGTCCCTCTAGTTGTGTAGGCAGCTCACTCGAGGAAGGCTGAATCGGCAAGTCATCTCGAGATCCAGACACCTTGCTGGCTTCTCAGCAGCAGATTCTGTGGAGGGCATGCCCCTGATCTTAACCTGCACAAAGCCTGCTAGGTCACCTGCTGCACACACACCCCGCCATGATCTCCCAGGAGCGACAGTTTCTTCCACTGCCTGCATTCCAGGCATGGGAGAAAAAATACATCCATGATGACATGCTCCCCTGCCCTCCCCAGCCACCTGGGATGCAGACCTGTGGTTTCCAGCAGTGGCTCTGCAGCATGTGCTTGGTGAATGGCTGGGCTGGTGGGTGGTGTGGGGGTGTTATTTAGAATCCAGCTGAGGCAAGTAGCCAAACATGGAAGATGCCATATCTGAGGAGGCAACCTGGACCTGAATGCCTCTGTCGCCTTGCCCTGCGTTGGACCTGTCTGGTGGCTTAGCTCAGGCAGGCTCCTGCTGCCCAGACCAGGCTGCTTGTAGAGCACCCAGGACTTCAGACCAAGGCTCTTCCCCACCCCCACCAGACCCAGGGAGGAAGCCAGTGTCCTCAGGCCCTGTTGGCCTGGCGGGAGGGGCGCTCCCAGGCCCAGCTCCAGCTGAGCAGCTTTGTGGATTCCTGCTTCTGACCTCTTCCCTCCCCCTCTCCTCCCTCTCAAAATTCCCCACCAGGCTGAAGCGCTTTAAAAAAAAAATCCTCGCTGGGAAATAGCTTTGCTTGTAGAGGTCAGGAATGAGCAGTCCCACAGGAAATACCAATTCCTCATCTAAGGCAGCTATGCATGTGGCTGGGGGTCCAGGAGCTGGGGCTTGGAGGAGCCCACTGCCCCCTCTGATGCCTTCCCCAGGGGCGGGGGCATGACCCACATACCCCCCTCTCCCCTCTTCCCCTGCCCCTGATCTCCCAGTGGTTTCACTACTCTCTTGTAAAGTGTCTCACTTTGGTCTAAGGCTGAAGACAGCTCAGGGACTGAAACTGAAAGAAAAATCCAGGATTTGAACAGGATGTTTGCTGGGATGGGAAGGATATCTGCTCCCTCTCCCCTTCCCAACACTGCCCCTCCACCCCGCCAGGGCCTCAGCCATGCACATGCAGACTGATGGGACATTGCAAGATGGGGTCCATTCCCCTTGTAAAGCCTGGGCCGGAGGTCAGCTCAGCATCCCCCTGTCTATTCAGCTGAATGGGGACTTCTGTCTGCAGAAGGCAGGCAGGCAGTTGGCTCCTGTTCCCCAGTTTCACGGTTCTCACTTTCTTAAAAACCCAACCCCGGGATGGAGGTGGGAGGGGGAAGAAAAAAGAAAAAGAAATCAAACATCCAAACCCTTTTGATGCAGTTTCTGCATATTTCTTCTCCTAATCACAATGGGGAGAGGACTGGACTGCTGCCCTAGAGGGGGTGCGGGGAAGGGGAGCTGGGTACCTCTAAGGTTGTAGGAAGTTGAGGGGGGAGTGGGCTACTGGGCAGCCAGCCTACCTCTGGCTGTTCAATACAGGCCCTAAATGCCAAGGAGGGAGGGCATTGTCTAGCCTCCCTGAGGTCCTCCCATGTGGTTTTGGTTGTACTAGCACGTGCCTCCAAAGGGGAGGGGCAGAGCCCCGGACAGATCGAAAGACCTGTTAGGGACGAATGCCCGCTGTGATGCACCGCTCCCCCCGCCCACACACACACATCTACACTGGGAGGCGCTCAGCTCTGCTTCCCAGTACCAGTGGCTGGGCCGGTAGGGGTGGGACGACAGCGAGGGATGGGGCTCCAGTGGCTGGGCCGGTAGGGGTGGGAGAACAGTGAGGGATGGGGCTCCAGTGGCGGGGCTAGTAGGGTTGGGAGGACAGCGAGGGATGGGGCTCCAGGCAACAGGGCACACAAGGCTCTGGTCCCAGACTCTTCTTCCTCCTGTGATGATCACAGAGGCAACTTTGGGTAGAACATCTTGTTTGTGTGTCTGAACTGGTGAAACCTGGTGATTGCTGTCTTGCCTGACCTGGCAGCTGACCCAGTCATCAGCTGCTCTCTATCTCCCTCAACCGTACCCTAAGGGAAATTCCCCCCACTAAGGGGACCCCTGGAGGAGAAGCAGCTAGTGCCAGGGTGAAAGAACTGCATGAGTGAGTCCCAGAGCCCAGGTTCCTGGGTGCACCTGCTTGACACCTTTCCTCAGCCAGGTCAGAATAGATGTTGTAGGGGGCCAAGAAGGCCCACGCTGGGGGCTTGCAGGAGGAAGAGTGTCCACAGTGAGGGGAGGAGCCCTCGGCTTTCCTTCACTGGTGCCGTCTTCAGTTTAGGTGCACACGTGCCTTGAGAAGGCTTAATTCTGGGGGCCCTGGACACAGTCACCCTTTTCCTCCCAGGAGAGTGTCCCTCAGGCCAGCGCCCTGCTGGACCAGGTTCCTGCCTTGCCTTGCCCCCTACCTCTTTGCCTATAAAGCTCCTTTCCCAGAGGCCTGTCCAGAACCACTGCCCCATCCACCTTCTCCTGGTCCTAATGCAGGAATGTGCACATGTACATGGCTCCACTTTTGGCGAAAGCCTACGTCCAGGCTTCGATTGTATATGTGCTGCCAAAGTGAGCACTTGAGGGCTTGGGTTGCATCTGGTGCTGATAACCTGGAGCTTTCCATGCTGGTTCCAGCAGGGGGCTCTCTGAGTGGAGGAGATGGGGTTCCTGAAGGAGAAATGGTTGGGGTAGGGAAGAAATACCTGGGGATGCCAGGCTGGTGTGTGACACTCACCTGAGTAGAGCAGGTGACCAGGCAAATGGTGTCAGCAGGCTCACTCATCCCCCCTTTTCTCCCCACCAGGTTCACTGTGCTCCGTCTCCATTGAGAAGGCACTGCCAGAAGACAGAGGCCTGTACAAATGTGTAGCCAAGAATGCTGCAGGCCAGGTGGAGTGTTCCTGCCAGGTCACCGTGGACGGTAGGTCTCACCCCTTGTCACACACACACATGCATGCTTCCATGGGGAACGCTGTTTCTCAGCCCTCCCTGCCCTCATCCCCGAACAAGGCCACCCCTACCTGAAGACAGGCATTTTGTGGGTGTCAGGTCACAGCGAGGCAGGTACAAGAGCATCAGCAGCTCCACCTGATGGGCCCACGTGGTCCTGCACTCCTGGGCCAGAAGGAGAGGCTGCTGGCCCTCCACACCCAGAGCCTGCAGAGCCAGGCAGCAAGGGGGCAAGGGGCAGCAGGCGGGAGAGAAGACACACCCACAGGAAAGTGACTTCAAAACATTTCCCAGGCAGTCACAACTACTGTGGGCACTGGCAGTCAGGCCCAGGCAGCACAGATTTGGGTCCTGCGCAGAAGAGGGGAGCAGAGTGGGGGCCCGGGCAAGGTGAGTTGCGGGTATTTGGGGGCAGGAGAGGAAACAGCCCCACTGTGGCCTGGGAGGGAGGGGAGGAGTCGGTGGAGAAAGCTCAGGACCATCTAATCTAGTGGAATTCCCCTGCCAGAGGGGCAGGGGTTTGGACTTGACCTTCAGAAACCACACAAGTGTATCTGTGGCTCTCTCCATGTGAGGCATGCAGATTGAGGACCCAGGAGCAGAAGAATCCGGGGTCATTCGGAGAGAGCAAGCATTCCCTTTCCCGGCCCACTCTGGGCTAAGCCAGGGCCTGAGCCCCATCCCAGGATGCACAAGCCAATGCCCTCTCTCCCTCTCTGTATTTTGGTACTTGCCTGGAAATGTCTAAAAAGGTAGTTTTGCAAAACACATTTCTCACCCTTGAAATGCCTGGTTAATAACCATGCACGACATGTCAAAACCCAGTGTCCAAATAAGGCGTCTCAGAGGGCAGCCTTGCTGCTCAGGCTCCACAGGGTGATTGCCTGAGTTCTCCAGGTTCCGGGCTGGCTTTTACTGCTGTTGCACAGGAGACGCCGTCTTTGTTCTCCTTCTGGATTTTATCATCGGATTTCCTGATCACAAAGCTGAGGTCCACTGGGCATAAGGGCAGGGGAAGGAGGGGGCGAGTCTTTGGAAACAACAACTCACACACACTCATAATGACAATTCATGTTAAGTAGCTATAGCCAACAGTCAAGCTGAGATGGCCCAGTGTCTGCTCTGTCTCCTGCAAGTTATGTGAATGTGCTTGTCCCAGGGCTGTGAGACTGCCAGTTTAGAGGTGAAGGTCAGCTCCAGGCTGGGCTTGGGGCAATGTGCAGAGTGGGGTTCCGGGTATAAAGGGGCAGCTGCTGCTGTGGCTTACTCCAGTGTGGGAGTCTCTCCTCACCTTGGCCATCCAGGGTCCTACTCCTTTTGTATCGGTGCTGTCTGAAAACAGATTAGCATTCCTGGGAACTTGACCCCAGGGAGCCTATTTTGGACAGCCCGGCTGTTCCTTGGGGACTCCCGCTGATTCCCACCAATCTGCAAGGAAGCTTGGCTGCTACTGAGACAGACCTGCTGTTGCAGCCGTTGGCCCCTTTAGGTCACATTGCCATGGCAGCCACGCCAGATGCATTCTCCTTATCTGAGAAGTGTCAGCACCTTTCCCAGATTTGTTTGCAAAGTGAAAGTTCTCTTTTCTCCTCTCAGAAACACATTTGAGAGGCTCCCAGGGCCCTGTCTGCAGGGAGCTGGAGGAGTTTGCTACTCTCCCCGCTATCTTGATCTCTCCAAATCCCTGAAGGGCAGGGTGTGGCCCCTGACTGGAAGTCAGTTGCTGGCGCTTTTGGAAGAAGAGCTAGAAACCTTGGTGGGAGGAAAGCCAGCTGAGATATCAGGACTGGCTCTGAGTAGAGTTGGATTTCCAGAGAAGAAAAGGGCAGCCTCTACCTCTCCACTCCCTCCCAAGGTTGTCTGTGAGATGCTCCTGCATGTTGTTTGTGCCTGGCCTCTTGCCACATTGGGCTTTGTTTTTCTATCAGGAGCCACAGCCAGGCCAGCCACAAGGGACCTGAGTTTCCTGCCAGACCCTAGCACCTGGCTGCCTCCTTTTGGCTGGTGCTCCCACCTGACCCCTACCGCCGCAACACTCCAGGCATAACATTCTTGGACATCAGTGGGTCCCAGCATTCTTTAGAAATCAGAGGCAAAGCATGGGTTGAGGCACATTTACAAATATATGCATGGGTTGAGGCACATTTACAAAGAAGGAGAGAGAGGGAGAAAGAACCGTAATTACTCAGCAGTATTATGAATCAAAGTGCAATGAAGATGTTCCTGTCTTAGGGCATATTCCACACCCCAGCTATTGTGTGGGCTCCTCCCATCTTGTTTCACCTCCAGGTGCCAGCCCTGGAGGTGGGACTCATCCTGTATCTCTCCCAGGGAGGCAGTGAAGTACCTCTCCACTGGGTGTGCCTGAGGTCCACAGTTGATGCTGGGCTCTCCCTTCTCAACTGAGGGAGTGGCTCTTTCCCCTGAAAGTCACCCGTGATCATTCAGCCTGTGCCCACACCATTCAGACCATGCATCTGCAGCCAGCATGGTACTAAGTGTAGAGACTTCATGCAAATGAGTCCTGCGGGGCTGTGGCTATTCCATGCTGACCAGAAAACAGTTGCCCCTTAGAGTGAAGAGGAGGGAGATGTCCTTGATCATACAAGCAAGTCTGGCTATTCCAAACATGACTCTTGAGGCTTTTTCTAAGAAAAGGCATAACCCGTGCCCTTCCCTCCAAACTCAGCAGAAGATGAATGGTAGTTGTGTTACACAGAGGAGAGCAGAAGTTTCTAAAGGATAAGGACTTGCCAGAGAACCCAGAGAAACACTGAATCTTCAGTGCCAACAAGGCCAGACTGTCCCACCGTTCTGCCCTCTCCAATTGGTATTTGTACCCTGTGCTGCTGTGGACAGGGTGTCCTCTGTGAGCAGCCCTAGGCTCAGCAGGGGTTGGTAGCCTCCGCAGGTCACAGGGTTTATAATAGGGCCAGCATAGGAACCACACCCTTCGTGAGGAATTACAACATGAATCACCTGGCAGGACTCAGGTGTGCCGGATTCCAAGCCCACACCTTCCTGCAATCTGCTACAGCCAACTCAGCCCCAAAGGAAACATGAGGAAACAGAATCCTCCTTGGGCCAGAATCCCAAAACGGGCATTCAAAGGCACCTGGGTCGCCCTCACTGGCCCATCCAGCAGTGCCCAGCTTAGACCTCCCCTCTCAGCTCCACTGACCAAGGGTCCCAACCTTTGCCACCCAAGAGATGAGGCTTCCTGACCAGGGAGGGCCACAAGTATGTATGTAGGAGAGGGACCCAGCAGCCACCCATGCCGTCATTCATTCATTTATTCATTCATTCAATATATGCACACCCCAGTCTTAGCCAGGTGCTGTTGTAGGAATGGGCTGGTGTTGAAAATAATGATCAACAGGAGAAAAACCTCTGCTCTCAAGCCTTGGAGAGGTAATGGTGCAGATAACAGATACTTCAGAGTCTTCAGTAATCTCACCTGAGGAGTGAGGGGCCCCAGGTAGTGGGACAGGGAATGCTGTGGTTGCTGAGGCCTCTGGAGGAAAGCCTATTTGAGCCGAAACCTAAAGGAATAAAGGAAGAGGTGGCAGTGAGTGCACACGTCTGAGCTGATATCTAAGAGTGTGAATGTAGCCCAGCTAGTGGGGGCACTGAGCCAGGGTGCAGATGAGGTCAAGGGCTGCAAGACCATACATATTCAAAGTGTGGTGGGACCACTGTCGATACTTGGATAGGTTCCCTTGGGTGTATGTGATGACCACACCTGGGGATGGGTAAAGGAAGAGTGGAGACCACTGGGAACCATTACTGTGGCAGCCCAGGCAAGGGTCAAGGCAGAATGGACACGACAGGAGTGCTAATATTGGGTGTGTTCTGGTGGAGAGCTGATAGGACTGGATGATGAGTTGACTGTGGGAAGAGAGAACAGGAAGTGAGAGGAGATGCTTGGTCTTTGTATGGGTTGAAGATCAGTGGAAGCAATATCCTCTGAAACCAGAAGGCAAGAGTTGAGCGAGTTCTCTGTGGGTGCATAGCTTAAGGTGCTCCTAGTGGGCCTGGATACATAGGTAAGAGCCTGGACCTGAGAAGGGAGGTCACAGCTGGCAGCAGGAAGTGGTGAGCCACCCACATGTTAGAGGAGTGGAGCGAGGTCCCTGGTGGATGTGGAAGGAGGTGGCATGAAAGAAGGAGGCAGAGTCCAATGTTGAGAGAGAGGAGCAGGACGGGGATCTGCGAAGGACCCGGGGAAGGATTCCAGGGGGTTAGGGGAGGATGGCAAGAACTTCAAGAAGATAAGAATCAAGGGCGATGTGTCAGAGGCTATAGCAAGTTGCACCTGGGCATTGGCTACAGGATTTGGCACCAGGAGGTCACCGCTGACCCTGACGCTATGGTTTTGAGGGCAATGTTAGTGCTAGCTGAGGGCCAGTTGAGCATATTGAGTCATCTGCTCAGGGTCTCCCTCTAATCAGCTGGGAAGGAATCTGCCCAGGTTGAGACTCCTGACCCCTGGAAACCACTGCCATCACCACTGTCGCCACCAGGAAGTCTGGCAGTCCCTGGCTGAGTGTCACCCATCTCTCTTTCATGGCCTGATACCCAGGAGAGTACATGTGGCCCATCCTGGTGCCGTGTTCCTGAGCTCACACTCATTTTCAGTCATCATGGGCAGCTGGCGAGTGGTAGGTTGAGTGGAACTCCTATCTGTGCAGATAGTGTGGTTCAACCTACCACAACATTTAGTGCAGCCCTGAGCCAAGTGTGTGCCCCAAGTGAGTGCCCAGCAAGTGTCAGCTACTGTTGTGCAGTTCACCCTCTCTTTCCCCTGAGGGTTTCGTGACCCCAGGCTTCCTCGTGAGGAAGAACAAGTTCTGAAAAGTCCAGGAACCCTGGCCAAGGACTCACAGCCACCCAACAGCAGTGCCAGATGGGAGCTCAAGTCTTCTGATGAGAAGTCTGTGTTATCAGGCTAGCAGAGAGAGAAAGAGATGAAGGGAGGGAGGAAGGGGCAGAGAGGAGGACTGGGTTGTCTGAGGGAGAGGCTAGAGCCTAGCCCATCTCCCTGGCTCCCTCCTGGGGAGTCCCCAGAAACTTCCCAAGACCTCCCCAGGGTCCAAGCTCCAGGAACCAACCTCTTGGGGGAGACAGAGGAGAAGAATGCTGCCCCTAGGCGAGGCATGCTCTAAGTTCAGGAGTAGAGAGGGGTGAGGCACTACCCATATAAGGATATGTTCTCTCTCAGCTGAGGCCCCCCCACATCCCCACACCTCTGTCCATTTCCCTCCCCCACACCTCTTTGCGGGGCATAACCAGGTCAGCCTGAGACTCCAGCCCCTGCCTCAGGCAGGGAATGAGGGGGGATGTGTGCTCAGATCTAGAAATGGAGTTCCATTTCATCACAAAATGATTAAAATAGACAGAAAATACAAGCTGCTCTTAAATTTTATTACTATTATTTTTATCCCCCGGGACAGCCATGTAAGCACAAGGCTGGTTTTGATTAGCACACGGTCCTTCCAGCCCATTCCTCCCTCTGGTTCTCACAGCAGCTCACATTGCTGGCCAGACCTCACAGTGGTTGCGTGCACGAGAAACACCCCCCACTGCCACCTTCCCGCTGCAGGCACTGGGGTGGGAGAGACCAGGGCCTCCCTCCCTGGGGCTCCAGCCACTTTCCTGCTGGCCTACTTGGAAAAGCTAAGACACAGGAGGTAATGACTACAAGGTTGTGTACCCCCATAACCACCCACCAGCCTCATACCCCAGTGCCACTGTAGGAGTCTTTCTGGAAGTGGAGAAGCCCCCAACCAATGGATGCTTGAGTTGTCACCTTGTGCCTCAGGGCACAATGGTGTCAAGAAGGTCAGATCCATGTTTGTGGCCCTGACATGAACATGGACAGAGACCCAGGACAACGCCTATGATATGCCCAAATTCCCCAGGTTGCCTAAAGCAATCCTAAGTTACTGCTCACCTCTGCCAGACCCCAGCAAAGCCCTGTGGGGAGAGAAAACAATCCCCTCCCTTCACTGCCTTTCTCTCAGGAATCCAGGAAAACAGTACTCAGCTTCTGCTAACCTGGGCCTCAATGTGCCTCTGAATTTCAAAAAGCAGAACAGCCTGCTTCTCCCAGCATACCCTCCTGGTATGCCCTGGCACTCAGTTGGAGATAGAGGGCTGGAGCTGGAGCAGGCAGAGCTGTGTGCCCTCCTTTGAGAAGAGATCCCAACCAACACATTTCTGCCAGTCCCTTTCTGGAAATTGTCCTTAGTGACTGTCAAAAGTGCTAACACTGAAGGAAGGGAAGAAAAGGAAAGCCTGGAACAAGGAAGATTTAGTCTGGCCCTGTGTCCCTGGTGCAAGGCACCCTGTCTCCCCAAATGCCAAAGGGGAAGCCCTGCCAGGCTCTCCTGGCTCTTGGAGGCCCCCTCCAATGTATCCCCCAAACCTGTGTTTACATTTGTGCGTGCGCGCACACACACAGAACTGGAGGAGACTCCCACTGGCCATGTGTTAGAGCCATTTGTGCACCTTCTGGATGATCTTGCTGCTCAGATCCCAACCCAAGCCAGTTAAACCACGGTCAAGGATGCTAGTGAGATACCTGCGTACAGATACTTGTAATGCAGCCAAGGCTAAGAACCACTGGGCTGATGGGTAGGTACAGAGAGCTTGCCTGTGACTGAGGATGACCATGGTCCACCTCCATGTCCACATGGCAGCTGTAGAGGTAGGGATCCCAACACACATACCCCAGCTCAGCCTCTGGGGTGCCTTTGCTCCTGCCAAGATGGAAATTAGTAAGGAAATCAGCAGGCACCCCAGGGCTGCTTGACAGTCTCTCACAGCTTCATGTCCCCCCTAAACCCTGTCCGCACTGCTGGGCCTGCTGAAAGACCCTTGTCATTGTTGCTATGAGGGCACATCTAGGGTAGGGACACCCTCTTACTGCTGATCCTGCACAGGACCCATTTAATGGAGACTAGGCAGGCATTGAGTGAGCAAGGAGGCCCGGCTCATGTTTAGGCCTCAGTCAAGGACTTCCCACAAGCAGAGCAAGGAAGGGATCCACATGCCATGTGAAAGGAGAAACAATTGTGGACACCCCTGACCACTCCACTCTGGGCTCTCTGGACCCAGGAGCCTCTCCTAGTCTCTGGAGCCCAGGCCTGGCAAGATCAGCCAGGGCTGCCCTATAGTGGCAGCTGGACAGCAAAGGGGCCCAGGCTTCTCTAGCCAAGCCACAGGAATGTGGCCAAAACCTTGGCTGGAAAGTCCCACTGCCTCCTCCTTCCCTGTGAGCTTCCTCTCCTGGGGGGTGGGGATGGGGGGCACAGGAAAGGGATGGACAGGGAGGGAGTGCAAGGGGGGTGATGGGTGGGGGGGTGATTTCCCCAACGCTGAAACCCCCAGAAGTGCTTTCAGTGGGGGAATGACACCCACTGAGTCTGCCCCTTTGCTGAATTTCTGGATAGAGGAGGAGAGGTTTCTTGCAAGTCCTGAGGGGAGTCAGCTAGGGGCCCAGTGAGGGCTTTTGCTACCCAAGCAGGACTGTTGAGTGACTGTTCCTTGCTGCGCAGCCAGGGACAGTATCCCATAGTGCCATGCATGCTTTGCATTAATGTGGAGTAGGGTATGCACCTGCCCAATGTGGTGCAGGTAAGGGAATGTTTTAGGGGTTTGCAGTTTCCCTGGGTCTTCTTTGCTTGGGGTGAGGAATGGGGTGGTGGCAGGAATCTCTAAAATGAGTGAGGAATGAGGCCTGGGAGGCCCTGAGAAATCAGAGGTGGTAAGCCCTCCAGCTCAGCACCCAAGGCAGGTCTGCAGGCCCTCTGTCTACAGCAGGATAGTCCTCATTCTAGGCAGAGTGAATTTGGGGGGAGAATCCAGGCCATGTGCCCCAATGGAGAAGCATGTGCAGAGGCGGGCAGAGGGAGACAGTTTTGCCCGGGACATTGCTGTGGGGGAACTTCCCGGGAGAGCCTGCCCATCCATCTTGCTGGGCGCCTGTACTCTCTCCACCTGATTTATCAGGCCCAGCATAGCAGGCACTCCTTCTTTGGTGCTTTCCTGGAGGAAGGTGGCCATGGCCTGATGCAGGCACCACAAGGGGGTGAAGGGGTAGGGTTGGAAGGCTAGGCAGAGGGAAGGGGCCCATAACCATGATTGTAGGGAGGGGGATTTTGCATGGACACCTCTGAACTGATGTCCCTGTCACCTCTTTTTGTTCCAGATGCCCCAGCCAGCGAGAATGCCAAGGCCCCGGAGATGAAATCCCGGAGGCCCAAGAGCTCCCTTCCCCCCGTGCTAGGAACAGAGAGTGAGTATGGGCTCCGTTCCTCTTCACCTCACAGCAGCAGGGCCAGGCTGCCCCAGAGCCCAGCCTCCTGAGCACCTGTTCACTTCTCATCTGCACTCTGCAAGAGCTTCCATAGGCACTGCCAGGAAAAGCTTACAGTCCTTGAAGATTTATTTCTTTGAAAGTCAGAGCTAGAAAAAGAGAAATTTTCCATCCATTGGTTCACTCCCTCAAATGGCTGAATTGACCAGGACTGGGCCAGGTTGAAGCCAGGAGTTTCATCCTGGTCTTCCATGTGGATACAGGGAGGCAAGGAATTGGATCATCTCTGGTGTCCTCTCAGGCACATTAGCAGGGAGCTGGACAGGAAGGGATGCTGGCACTCCTGTCCCATGGGGGAGCTTTCTAAGCTGTGGCTCTGATCCTTTTTTGCTCTAGTTTGAGATATCCAGTGGTCCCAGTGCCTACAAAAGCCCGTACAAATGACCCCTCTCACACATTTGTATGCTGGGCACCCCTGTCACATAGGTGCACACAGTATGCACCCGAGTTGCACAGCAAGTATCCTTGCTCTGCCCCCAACTCCTTTACTCAGCTACCTGATAATCAAGCCACACAGTGCATGGGCCTTCCCCCAAATTCCTTCTGATGTGCCTTAGCCATGATACCTACCTCTATGGGTCACCTTGTTGGTAAGATCCCACTGAAAACCCACCCAACCTCAAGTTCTTTCCCACTTCTGTTTCAAGTAACCATTCTCTCCCAGGAGCTCCCCCTTCATGGGCTGTCCCCTCCCCCAGGTCAGGGCATGTGTGCCTCACCCTCCCGCCTCCACCATAGATTCCCTAAACGGCCTGGATTCACTGAAACACCTCACATGGTGTAAATGGCCAGTAGCTGCCTCTCTCTTTGTGGATGTCCTCCACCCAGCATCCACCTGTACCTGTGGCAAAGAGATCATAAGAGCTTAGAAAACCAGGAGGGAAGATGAACTTTGAGGTCAGAGACAGTGTTTCAACTCATTGCATTAACATGCTCATCTTCATACCAAATATAATTTGCATACTTACAATGTAGCATATATTACAGTGTGTGTGTGTGTGTGTGTGTGTGTGTGTGTGTGTGTGTGTGTGTGTTTTAATGGAAGAAAGAACCTGGAATGGATCCTCAGCAACTGTAATGCAGCCATCTCTCCCACATGCATACCTGTTTTGTTCAGGGAACTCTTCCCTGAAGGCTTAGGTTTTCAGGAAAATGTAGTTGCGTGGGCCTCTCCAGCGCCCTCTGTTGTAAAGCAGGCAACAGGCAGTTACTTCCGGGGGCCATCTGAGGACCAGAATGGAGCCTGATGAGTTCAAACGCAGCTTCTCTGTCTAGTATGTGGCAGTGTGTGGTGGCTTTGTAATGTTTCTTTTTTTCTGCTCTTTTAAAGCAACCTACTTCTCTTCATAGTGATGAACCAAGGGTTGCCTGCAGGCCGGCAGAGAGATACTTGGCTTTTAGCCTGTGGCAGCAGCCTGACCAAGATACCCATTCCTTGTGATGGCTAACCCACCTGACCAGTGCTAGATGTCCACTCAGGGGACACTGACCAAGTTGTCGGAAAGCATCTAGGTAGCTATGAGAGAAGTCTAGTGAGAGCAGGCTCCCAGTCTCTCTGAGCAAAACCATGAGGGTGGGGAAACAGGAGCAGAGCAGACACAAGTTGGAAACCCTAAATAGACTACATCCCAAGAGCAAGGGGCATGGAAAATCCTAATCCAGTTGCCATCCTTAGACTCTGGTGCTGTGGCTCCTGGCCCCAGCTGCTGTGAGATCCATGGTGGAGCTCTGAGCTCATGCTGCCCAGCTAATTCACTCCCTCAGAGCCTTGGGGTAGGAGCCAGGCTTCTGCCTTTGTTTACATCCCAGGTGATGCCAGTGCTGGCCAAGACTGAAACCCAGCTGTGATGGGGGGTGCCCATGCTGTCGGTCTTGGTCAGCGGAAGTGGGGGCAGAGGGGGAGCATGGGGTATTGCTCTTGACCACATCCTTGGAGAGCAGAACACACTGCGGTATGAAAGCTGGAAGCCGAGTATGTGTGTATGGGAGGCTAGGTCAGCGTTAATCAGATGGGCAGGGCTGGTGTACATGTACACACACACACACACACACACAGGACCAGCTCCTGGAGACCATGCTCAACTATTGAGTGGGGATCTGCTGTGTTGCACTGAGAACTTCTGTGCTGGACTTAGAAAATCACCCCCACACCCCAGCACAGGGATGTGCATCTGCAAACACCATCCCTGGTCCTCCACATGCCTCTGCAGGCCCGTGCATCCAACCTCCAGACCCCCAAACCTGTTAGCTCTGGGCACAGCCAATGTTAACAGACAGGACTGATTGCCCCTCTATTGGCCTACACACCTGTACTCTCATCCTTCAGAAACCTCCCTGAGTGCCTGAGAGACACCTCAGGGAACTTTATTCTTGGAGTCTCCTGAGATGACTGCCCTGAGATGGGAAATGGAGGCAGTGACTTTGATGCTTGCATCACTGCCCCGTTATTTTCTCCTTTTTGAGGGTAGTTGGTGTTATTTACTAGCTCCATAAATTATATAAACTCATGCATGCCTTCTTAAATATTTTAAACAGAACAGAAATGCACAAAGTACCATATGAGCATCCTTCACCTCCAGTTCCACTCACTCCCTCTCAAATATACTCAGGGTCCCTCTTTTCAGCTATATACAGTTATATAAATATATAAACACCCTCATCCCCCACCAGAAATGGGATTATGCCAGCTGCAATAGGGCATCACTGGCCAGCCCTGCTCGGCTCTGACTGTACCAGGGGTGGGCTGTGTGTGTGTGTGTGTGTGTGTGTGTGTGTGTGTGTGCGCGCGCACACGCGTGCACGTGCATTTCTGCCCAGGGCCAGGAAGCTCCTAATCTAAGGAGGAAATCCCTCTTTGCGAGTTTCTTGTCTCGCATATGTGGAAGCCTCCCCTGTCCCAGCTGGGACAGCTATCCTGCGGGCACGTGTGTGGAATATGGAAGAGAATAGCTCCAATCCATGGGGCTTGAGAGCCCCACCCACCTCAGCCCAGCAGTACCAGGCAGCCTGAGGGGAAGACCCAGGTCATGGGATGGGAGAGAAGTGACAGAAGTACAAGGGAACTGCCAGGCACCCACCACTGATACACGAGGCAGCTTGAACCATCACCCCAGGATAAGCTGGGAGCTTGAACCAGCATTGTAAGGGTACCTGACCCCCATAAGCTGCTGCTGGAACCACACCTGTGCAGCAGATGTAACCCCCAGGTGTTCTGCATGAGTCCCCCTCATTTCCATCGAGTCTCACTGCACTGTGAGATGGTTGTTCCCATCCCGTAGGAGAGTGGAGCTGAGCCATAGAGAGGTAAACTGACCCTCCTCTCAGGGTGTCGCACAACTGCTCAGGGTGATTCCAGCCCAGACCTGTGTTCTGCCACAACATGTGCCCCTCTCCATAGTCCTGGGACTGTCCTTGGTCCCAATGGCATAAGGCTGGGCACAGCTCCCCCTGGCCTGTAGCAGCAAGTTGGAGGAAGCAGGGGAAGGCGGGTAGGGCTGCTGGGAGGGAGAGGGTGGTGGCTAGTAGACTTCCTGGATCCTGAGACCAGTCAAACTATTGGCTGTTATGTCTCAATGAGAATTTTTGGTAAACAACTATTTTGACAAATATTTCCAATGTTCAGAAAAGTTGCAAGAATAGGATAAGGAGCTCTTGTTGTATACTCTTGAACTCATCAGTTGTTCACATTCTGGTCTGTTGTCATCTTCTGTGCATATGGGGGTACTTCATAAGGTTTGTTGAAAAAAAATGGAGTGAAGATACCCATATTCTAATGCAAAAAATATTGTGACATCCACACTTAGTGTTTTTCAGAATACGTATTTTCCATGAATTTGAAGATTTCCCTATTATTCTTTTATGTAGATAGATAGCAGTTTAAACCAAACTGAAGAATATCTAGCTGACTGGATTTTCCTGCTTCTTACGAACATGACCATCATGGAATTATGAGGTTGGAATTTGACATTGAAACAATGCTATTATTTAATCCACAGTTCACATTCAAATTTTTTTTGTCAGTTGTCCCCATAATATCCTGTTTGTGGCTACCTTTTCCTCCTCTTGATGGAAACTGAACACACCACACTTCCAAAACACTTTATGTATGCCTTCAGCCGAGAACAGGTTCTCCCCTACCTTGAGAGACAGAGCCAAAGACAGGTGCACAGGCTTAGGGAGGAAGGGCCCATGGCTGCCCCAGTGGAGCAGAGGGTTGTGTGAGGAGGCAAGGACACCCATGGTGGATCTTTTGGGACCAGTTTACTAGGCTAAGTCCAAGAGCAGTGCTTAGGAATGGGATATAAGAACAAAGTTCCTGGGCTAGAAAGGAGACAGGGTCTTGAATGGGTGGCCTTGGGCCAAGTCTTCCATCCCTGTGAACTGCCTTATTTTTCTCTCCAAGGGGGAAGGGGTCCCTTGGCCAATCCCAGGCCTTTCCCAGCTGTGACAGCAGGCTACTGGCTAGAAAACTTTGGAGTAACACAGTTCAAACAAGGCATGTGTCATCTGGATGGAGAAGCCCAAGACTACAGCAAGCATAGTTGAGGTGACACAGCAGCAGACTCATCCTGGCAGGAGGAGACCTTTAGCATAAGGGCCAGCTTTAAGGTGTTCTGGCTGGAGGGGGGATTCCAGATGTCGAGCGGCATTTTGGGGAGTGAGGGACAGATCCATGGGCTTAAGAAAGGGCTCAGAAAAATAAAAAACAGAGGGACCCTACTGGTTGGATGACAACTCGGGGACTGCTCCTGTCCGTGAGGAGAGAGGCTGCAGATCTGTTGGAAAGAGATCAGTGAGCATACCCAGGGGCTCTCGTGATTAGAGGAGTGGCTGGCCCCTGAGCGTGTTTATGTTGTATGCTTCTAATTGACTCATGAGCTTCCATATTAGAAGGGCTCTGCATTCTGTGCCTTGAGAGT